AAATATGAAAAAGAAAGAAAATGTCATAAATCAATGATAAATATGAAAAGAAATAAATACTATAAAACAATTGATAAATATAAAAGAAAGAGAATTCCGGAAAACAATAATGAATATGAAGAAAGATAATGTCATAAAGTAATTATGAATATGAAAAGAAAGAGAATACTATAAAAAACCATTGATGAATATAAATTGAAAGATAAAGTAATAAAACAATGAAAAATTTGAAAAAAAAGAGTGTGTAATAGATAAATGATAAATATAAAAGAAAGAAAATGTCATAAATCAATATAATATGAAAAAGAAATTAAAATATATAAAAATGATAAATATAAAAAGAAAGAGAATTCCGGAAAACAATAATGAATATGAAAAGAAAGATAATGTCATAAAGTAATTATGAATATGAAAAGAAAGAGAATACTATAAAACCATGATGAATATAAATTGAAAGATAAAGTAATAAAACAATGAGAAATTTGAAAAGAAAAGATGTGTGTAATAGATAAATGATAAATATGAAAAGAAAGAAAATGTCATAAATCAATGATAAATATGAAAAGAAATAAAATACTATAAAACAATTGATAAATATAAAAAGAAAGAGAATTCCGGAAAACAATAATTGAATATGAAAAGAAAGATAATGTCATAAAGTAATTATGAATATGAAAGAAGAGAATACTATAAAACCATGATGAATATAAATTGAAAGATAAAGTAATAAAAACAATGAAAATTTGAAAAAAAAGAGTGTGTAATAGATAAATGATAAATATGAAAAGAAAGAAATGTCATAAGATCAATGATAAATATGAAAAGAAAAAAATCAATAATCAATGATAAATATGAAAGAAAGAGAATACAATAAAATAATGAATAACATGAAAAGTAAGAGAATATCATAAAGCAATGACAAATATGAAGAGAAAGAGAATAATTTTCATGTCAACATCAGCGCCATGTTCAACAAAGAATTTGACAATTTCGATTGAATTTGTTTTGATTGCAATAGAAAGTGGAGTATACTAAGATCAAAGAATTTTATAAAGCAATGATAAATATGATAAGAAAGAGAATGCCATATAAGCAATGATAAATATGATAAGAAAGAGAATGTCATAAACCAATTGTGAATATGAAAAGAAAAGAAAATATAATAAGGTTTGTTGATGTCAGCCCCATTAGAAAGTAAATACGAAATAACTTTAAAGTTTCCAAAATACATGCATTCTCTTATTGAATCAGGATTTTGTCCGAAGTTTTGATTTAAGATACTCAGCAATTTCATAGTGTTTGATAACCCAATGCTGTATTAATCATTTTATTAAATGATTCACCTTCTTCTACCATTTGCATAAATATGTTTTTATTTCCTCCTTTAACAGCATATTCTTCAGAGTGTTTAGTGTATTTAGCTCCTAAATTTTTCATGTAATTGAAGCATAATTCTGATCCGTATTTAATTGCACAATCAAGTGGTTTGATTTCATCATCTACTTTCGTGTTAATTTTTAAGATTTGGGAATTTACTTTTAAGGTCATCAACTAAATCCCATGCAATATAGTATAGGAGACTCTTTTGAATATAAATTGAGAATTGCTTCTTCTGTCATTTTAGGCTTAAATTTTCAAAATTGAAACCTTTATAATGTAGAAGCGTTGCTAATTTAATATTATCGGCTTGATGACGCATGAGAATTCGTTAGATATCTTTGATAGAATTCTGAAAATAAATTAATGTCTTTTTCACGAATTTCCGAAAAAGCGCTAATCAAGTAAATTGCCATATTGATGGATATTTTGTTAGTTTTAATTAAATCTATAATTTCTGCTGATGATGTTAAAATATTATTTGAATTGACTTCCGAAATAATTTTTTGAAGCTTGGCTAGGGTATTTGAAGGGTTCAATTGGCTTAAGGCTGCTAAATTGCATTCGCCTTCATTTACTGGTTGCTTTGTACTTGACATGCTTTGTAATTTTTTTTGGTCGTGACACTTTTAGGGACAAAATCAAGTGTTTCTACCAAATAATAAGAGAAAAGGGTAAATTTTTTTGAAGGAGCGGTACATCTCACAAAAATTGACATTGTAAAGTTAGTCAGTTTACAATTGTAAAATGGCAAATTTGCCACTTGTTTGCCAACTACAAAAAAAGTTTGGCGCGCCAAATCGCAAAAGTGTCATAATCTCATGGTGGACCACAGTTGGAGTCGCCGCCGACAATCCACTGCTGGGATGCTACGCAGCCTTTGATCTGGCCAATCATAGTGCTGCTCCATCCACATCAGCAAGTGATTTCGGCAGGAGATCCCCAATCGGTCTTCCATGAGAGTTCACAAGCAAAGCGCAATACCTGTGCAGTCTAACTGCTAGGATATAGTAGCTAGGCTGTGTAGGTATTGCGCTTCTAAGGATATTAGTTATCCGTTATTGCCCTCATTCATTTACACTACCGCCCTGGTTCCCCAAAGGGCCAAGGATTCTGTAATTACTCGAGCAGGGCAAAGTTCTTCCGAGATCTCTCATTCCATCGAAAGATCTCGGAGAAAACTTTGCCTTAAACTACTCAATTACTGTTCCCTGGTTTTTCAAAGAGCCAGGGATTCTGTAGTTGATCTAATAAGGCAGAGTTTTTTCCGAAGTCTCTCATTTGATGAGAGGCCTCGGAAGAACTCTGCCTTAAGATAGCGTACTTGTGATCTCTAACAATTTTGGTGTGTCGGAGAATGTAAATTTATTCGACTAGGACAGAGTTTTTCCGAAGTCTCTCATTTGATGAAGGCCTCGGAAAAACTCTGCCCTAGTGTAATGTAGTTGTGGTACTTGGCCCACAAAAAGCGAGAGAACATGTCTGTAATTCGTTTATGCTGAAGTTATCTGGATGTCTCTCAAATGAGAGAGGAAATCCAGATAACTTCAGCATAAGTTAATGCATATGTGGTTCTCTGGCTCTTTGTCGGCCAGAGAACGAATAAAAAGTTTAATGGGTGAGTAGGCTCGATGGATGCCTACTCATTGCAAATATACGTTATTTTTTTCCTATGAGAAAATAGTTTTCCAGTTTTATAATACCATATGTTTTATTTCTTCATATATAACCTATTCCAAAGGAGAAAAAGAGATTTTCCGAAATTCATAATTTCAAATTTGCGTAAAACTCAAAATTAAGTGAACATAATAAAAGAACACATAATAAATCAGATTCACCATATTTAAGTTTCACAAAAATTTCCAAAAAAATCACGTTTCGAAAATTTCGAAATCAAAAAGTACATTTTTCGCGAGAAAAAAAGAAAAACAATTTTTTTTTGGAATTTTGGTGAGATAGAATCTTCTTTATCTCCTCATGTAGTGAATATTTTCGCGTTCTGATGGCGGAAAACGCAGTTTTGAATGCGGAGATTCCGAAACACACGGAAAAATTAGGGTTTAATAAGAAAATTAGATTATATATATGAAGAAATAAAACATATGGTATTATAAAACTGGAAAACTATTTTCTCATAGGAAAAAAATAACGTATATTTGCAATGAGTAGGCATCCATCGAGCCTACTCACCCATTAAACTTTTTATTCGTTCTCTGGCCGACAAAGAGCCAGAGAACCACATATGCATTAACTTATGCTGAAGTTATCTGGATTTCCTCTCTCATTTGAGAGACATCCAGATAACTTCAGCATAAACGAATTACAGACATGTTCTCTCGCTTTTTGTGGGCCAAGTACCACAACTACATTACACTAGGGCAGAGTTTTTCCGAGGCCTCTCATCAAATGAGAGACTTCGGAAAAACTCTGTCCTAGTCGAATAAATTTACATTCTCCGACACACAAATTGTTAGAGATCACAAGTACGCTATCTTAAGGCAGAGTTCTTCCGAGGCCTCTCATCAAATGAGAGACTTCGGAAAAAACTCTGCCTTATTAGATCAACTACAGAATCCCTGGCTCTTTGAAAACCAGGGAACAGTAATTGAGTAGTTTAAGGCAAAGTTCTTCCGAGATCTTTCGATGGAATGAGAGATCTCGGAAGAACTTTGCCCTGCTCGAGTAATTACAGAATCCTTGGCCCTTTGGGACCAGGGGGCGGTAGTGTAAATGAATGAGGGCAATAACGGATAACTAATATCCTTAGAAGCGCAATACCTACACAGCCTAGCTACTATATCCTAGCAGTTAGACTGCACAGGTATTGCGCTTCTGGCTTGTGGAACTCTCATGGAAGACCGATTGGGGATCTCCTGCCGAAATCACTTGCTGATGTGGATGGAGCAGCACTATGATTGGCCAGATCAAAGGCTGCGTAGCATCCCAGCAAGTGGATTGTCGGCGGCGACTCCAACTGTGGTCCACCATGAGATTATGACACTTTTGCGATTTGGCGCCAAACTTTTTTTGTAGTTGGCAAACAAGTGGCAAATTTGCCATTTTACAATTGTAAACTGACTAACTTTACAATGTCAATTTTTGTGAGATGTACCGCTCTCAAATTTTTTTATTGAAAAATAATGAGTTATCGTTTGACAATGGTAACTTGAAAATTAACCAACATAATGAGTATCACGTAAATATCAATTTTATTACTATACGTAAAATTCTCATCTCAATTTTAATGAAACAATTTTTTTTTCATCCCCTGAGCACACTAGTATCTGTCTGTTTCTAAACAGAGTTCAGTAAACTTGTTGGTGTCTTCTTTCTTGGAGATCTGAGCTAAAGCCTTGACTTCGTAGTTGTAGATTTCTTTGTCATGCTTGCAGATCATAGAAGCATGGTGTGCATAAGCAGCCATACCTTTGAGACCGCAAAGGATCATTTCGCGAAGAGAAACAGCATATGGGTTTGGATGTGAGTGAACACCGAGTGGAGCTGTGATCTGTTACTTAGCAAGCTTATTCATAATTTCGTGGGCGTAGTTTAATTGCTTTGTAAGAGCATTATCATCAACAATTGTTAGCGTTGATGATTGTCATGAAGAGTGTCTTGTTGATTTAAAGACCAACTTCTTTGGAAACAACGCCATCCTTAAGTGCATGTGTAATTTCCTTGCAAACTTGAATCATTTCATCTTCAATGTTAGCTGCAGAGGGGAATTTGACCATAAACACACTTTCTTTTGCAGTGAGCATTGTCGTTTGTTTCTTGGTACTGGAAACAGAACATCTTTTCGCCTGGGCAAAGATAGGACTTGGCACATATGCAGAAGAGGGCCATTTGTTGAGATCCGAGTGTAGATGCTGAGGCATATAATACATATTGGAAAAATTATTTTTTCATCCATATTATTACTTCATATTTTATAATATTTGTAAATGTTTGTATGTATATTGAGCAAACAGTGAAAGAAAGGAATGCTATTTGGTATTCAAAAAGAGAGGAAATCTCAGTAAAGACAAAATTTTAGGTGAGTAATCAGTAAAAAGTATTTTCTATTGTACCCATATTATCACTAGCAAAGCCAAATTTATCAATTTCATAATTTGTTTCAATTTCGATGACATTTTTTTGAATGTTTTTTTGTTTCTGCCTTATATTTCAATTCCTAACTTTTTCCTTTTGATTAATTTGTTTCATTCAATCTCTTATTAAAAAAAATTTTTTTTTGAGAACTTGTGGTGAAAAAAAAATCTCAGCAGGCAATTTTTTATAAAAGGATTTTGTGAAATTATTTCCAAATTCATAAATTGATGAAAAAAAGCATCCGATGACGAAGGAAGAATTCTGATGACAAAATAACGTTCTTTATTATGTAACGATAGCATATAAAGTTTACATTTTTTCAATGCCTCCTCGTTCTAGTGTTCGCAAGGTTATTGGACAGAAAGAGCAAGGAGGACCAGCTAAGCCAGGGAAGCCAAACTCGGGAAAGAACAAGAATGGGCAAGGAAAATCGAGCGAAAATGCAAATCAAATCTTGAAAAATAGACCAACGATTAAACCACCAAAAGCGGATAACTTCGGAGATATTGGTATTCAAAGGTCCAATCCATCTGCATATTCACCGGGTGATTTTGGTCAAATCGATGAGCTTCCACCTCTTTCTTCAGTTACAGAAGATAAATTCGATGACATGCTCCGCCAAAAACTTCAGCAATGTCGTATTATCTGTAACTTCACTACAGATTATGCCGATCTTAAAAGTAAAACAATGAAACAGACTTATTTGCAAGAAATTTTAGATCACATTTCTCAACCAAGATTCTATCGCTTAATGGAACCAGAAACAATCCAGGCATTATTCGCTATGATCAAAGCTAACATTATTCGTTCCCTTCCTCCAATCCCAGATTTGGCGAAAGTTCCCATGATCGGAGATGATATTAACGATACAATTTACGAGTCTGCTTGGCCGCACTTGGAATTGGTCTACCAAATCTTCCAGCGCTTCCTTGAATCAGCATTATTAGAGCCAGCTTCAGTAGAACAGTACGTAGATGCATCGTTTATTGTGCAGTTCCTCCTCCTATTTAACTCTTCCGATCAAAGAGAGCGTGATTCCCTTAAAATGGTTTTGCACAGATTATACCTGAAATTTGTCTCAAAGAGACCTTTCATTCGTCAAGCCATTCAACACATTTTCTATACATATATATATGAAACGAAATACTTCTCCGGTATCTTCGAATTGCTTGAAATTATGGTTTCGATTATTAACGGTTACGCGATCCCTCTTAAACAAGAGCACAAAGACTTCCTTACAAAGATTTTGCTTCCTCTTCACACATCCAACTTCCTTCATACATTCCATCAGAGACTTTTCGACTGTGTCAACCAATATATCAAGAAAGACGCTACGCTTATACCAGTTATAGTCAGGGAACTGCTTAAAATCTGGCCAGTGTCATGTTCTCTCAAGGAACTGATCTTTATCTCCGTATTTTCAAAGATTTTCGATTCAATGAGCGATGAACAGTTCAAAGAATTGATGTTTGACCTATTCCACAGAGTCGGATTATGTATTACATCTGATAACTTCCAGGTTTCTGAAGCAGGAATGCTTCTTTGGAAGAATGATCGCTTCATCAAATGCATTAAAGCAAACGCCAAAGAACTTTACCCTATTATTTGTCCATTCCTTTATAAGACTGGTACAAATCACTGGAACCCAGCCATTAAAAATTTGGCAGTTTCCGTCATTAGAATCTGCATGCAGACGGCCAGCGACGTATTCGAGGCATTTAGCCGATCGATGAAGTCGCAGAGCTTGCAGGAAGCTAATCGCATTGCGGGAGAACGCGATACGTGGAAACTTGTTATTAATACGGCCTTGACGCAAGATTCGACAATTGACGCCAAGGAAAAGAATGCTGATGTTGATGCTGTTTTTGTAAATAATGAAGCATAAAATTGAGTTTGTTCAGATTTGAAAATGATTTTATTAATAAAAATTGATTTATGATATAAGAATAACTGATCTAAGAATTTTGTCTTCCTGACGATCACAATATAGTTCGTGATTTCAAAATTAAATTTTTCAACTCAAATTTTTTACGTTATCTATGTTCATTTATAGCTAAAATCTAATTTACTCAAATAATACTTCTATTTTATATGCGAAAAATGCTTTCTAATGAAAAGAGCGAATAGTGTGAAATCGCCTGTATTATTTCGGATTGTTCAAACTATTGCAATAGTTTTTCTAAGCTATCTACTTGAATAATTTATAGGAGATCATCCTTTAAATCTCATATTTTATAATGATCAAAAAGATTTTCTACGATATAATATCATTTGGATAGCATATTAAATCAATACTAGCATAGTCTATTGCATTTGTATTGTAATAATTGATGAAAATCTATTATTTGATGGATAATTTATATAGAATATTACAAAAATACGAGTTCATATGCCAAAAATAATATCAATGCATTATGCATTGAGAGTAATAGCTGGAGATCGTTTTCCATGCATAAACTTTCTCATGTAATCTTTGGTAAAATTATTAGATGTATATTGAATATTTTAATAATATCTGTAGAATTCACTATATTGGGTATGACTTCTTTCTGAGGTTATGCTGTCAAACATGTCATTCAATGAGTTTTTTTTTAGTTCATAGAATTGGTGGTATGATGTCAAAAAATTGAGAAGAAATTCGGCCATATTAATCTCAAATGGTGATTTTATCCATTTAATATTAAATTAAAAATAAGAAAAATTGCATGATTCTACGATGTCAAAGTTTCCTCTCGAATGTAATTTTTGACGATAGAATTTTATCGTTCTCTGACCTGGACCATTTTCAAAATGTTCTCGCCCGTTGACGAAAAAAAGCAACTAGCGAATATTGAGAAGGAAATCCTAACATATTGGGATGAAATCGATGCTTTCAAGACATCCAACAAGCTCGCCGAAGGCCGTCCAGAATACATTTTCTATGATGGTCCACCATTTGCTACTGGCACACCACACTACGGTCACATTCTTGCTGGTACAATCAAGGATGTCGTTACACGTTACGCATACCAGACAGGTCACTCTGTTCCACGCCGCTTTGGTTGGGATACACACGGCGTTCCAGTCGAGCACGAAGTTGACAAGATGCTCAACATCAAGGACAAGACAGTCATCGAAAAGGAGATGGGTATTGGCGTCTACAACGAGAAATGCCGCTCAATCGTCATGAAGCACCAGCAGGATTGGGAGCGCGTCGTCAGACGTTGCGGCCGCTGGATCGACTTCGTCAACAGCTACAAATCCATGGATGTCACATTCATGGAATCTGTTTGGTGGGTCTTCAAGCAGCTTTGGGAGCAGGACAACGTCTACTGCGGCGTCAAGGTCATGCCATACTCATATGGCTGCGGCACACCACTTTCCAACTTCGAAGCTGGTCTTGATTACCGCTCAGTTTCAGATCCAGCCATCTACATTGCCTTCAAGGTCCCAGGCAAGGACTTCGAAGTCATCGCATGGACAACAACACCATGGACACTTCCATCCAACCTCATCCTTGTTGTCAATCCAAAGATGAAATACGCCAAGTTCGTTGATAACGCAACAGGCAAGAAGTACATCACGATGAAGTGCCGTATCCCATCCCTCTACCCACCAAAGGCCAAGGATGCTTTCAAGATCCTCGAAGAGATGGACGGCCAAGACCTCGTTGGCATCGAGTACGAGCCACTCTTCCCATACTTCGCCAACTGGAAGGAGCACGGCGCTTTCAAGATCTACACAGCCGACTACGTTACAGATGATTCCGGTTCCGGTATCGTCCACACAGCTCCAGGCTTTGGTGAGGACGACTATGGTGCCTGCCTCAAGCACGGCATCATCACACGCGACGGCGAGATCGTCTGCCCAATTGATGATAACTGCTGCTTCACAGAGGAAGTTCCAGACTACAAGGGCGTCTTCGTAAAGGATGCCGATGCCCAGATCATGGATCGCCTGAAGAAGGAAGGCCGCCTTATCAAGAAGGAGACAATCAAGCACGAATACCCATACTGCTGGCGTTCTGGCACACCACTCATCTACCGCTGCATTCCATCATGGTTTGTCCGCATCGAGAAGCACCGCGAACTCCTCATCGAGAATACAAACAACACTCATTGGGTTCCAAACTCAATCCGCGATGGCCGCTTCATCGAATGGCTCAAGAACGCTCGTGACTGGGCCATTTCCAGAAACAGATACTGGGGCACACCAATCCCAATCTGGACAGATGATGCCAAGTCAGAATTCTACTGCATTGGCTCCATCAAGGAACTCGAGGAACTCTCCGGTGTTACAGGCATCAAGGATATCCACTGCCACTTCATTGACCAGATCACATTCAAGTCACCAAAGACAGGCAACGTCTTACACCGCATTCCAGAAGTTTTCGACTGCTGGTTCGAGTCTGGTTCCATGCCATTCTCACAGTTCCACATCCCATTCTCCGGCATGGAGTGGCGCCAGGCTGATTTCATCGCAGAAGGCCTCGATCAGACACGTGGCTGGTTCTACACGATGACAATTCTCTCCTCACTCCTTGGCCACCCATCACCATTCAAGAACGTCATTGTCAACGGCCTCATCATGGCAGCTGACGGCAAGAAGATGTCCAAGAAAGAGAAGAACTATACAGATCCAGAGCTCATCATGGACCGCTTCGGTGCTGATGCAGTCAGACTTTACCTCACAAACTCACCAGCCTGCCACGCCGATCCATTCTCATTCAAGGATGACGATGTCGCCATGATTGTCAGACAGACAATGCTTCCATGGATGAACTCAATCAAGTTCTGGGTTGAGCAAGTCATCCGCCACGGAAACAACTTCAAGAGAAACACAGAGCTCGCATACTCATCAGAGAACATCCTTGATAAGTGGATCCTCTCCAAGATCAACCGCCTCATCCAGCACGTCCACCGCGAGATGGGTCTCTACCAGCTCTACAACGTTCTCCCAGAGCTTGTCAAGTTCATCGACCAGCTCAACAACTGGTACGTCAGACTCAACAGAGACCGCCTGAAGAAGGGAAAGGATGCCGAGACAGGTATCGCTGTTTTGTTCGAAGTTCTCCTTCAGCTCTCATTGTTGATGGCTCCATTCGCTCCATTCTTCGCCGAGTACGCCTACCAGCACTTGAAGCCAGCACTCCCAGAGTCAGAGCAGCTCCAGTCCATCCACTTCGTCATGCTCCCATCCGCTGACGAGAAGCACATCGACTCTGTCATCGAGCGCCGTGTCGAACTCATGCAGTCCGCAATCTTGATCGCAAGACTCGTCAGAGACAAGAAGAAGATCCCAGTCAGAAGACCAATGAAGGCTATCACAATCGTCTGCTCTCCAGAAGTCAAGGAGATGGTCCACGACTTGACAAACTACATCACAAAGGAGTGCAACATCCTCGAGATCGACTACGAGACAGATGAGAAGAAGTACGTCCAGTTCTCAGCTGTTCCTGATGGAAGACTCCTCGGAAAGAGACTCGGAAAGCAGCTCAAGGAAGTCAGAGAGGCACTCACAAAGATCCCATTCGAGAAGATGGCTGAGATCTACGACAAGGCAATCCACGCAAAGCAGAACGGTCAGCCAGCTCCTGAGTTCGAAGTCGCTGGTGTCACTGTAAACACAGACGAAGTCGACGTCACTCGCTCTCTCGTTGGATTGGATGAGAACAAGTTCTTCGGTGGTGTCGATGGAGAAGTTGTTGCTTTCGTCGATATCTCTGTCTCTAAGGAGATCGAGGAAATGAACGTCGCTCGTGAAATCCGCGCTCGTGTTCAGGCTGCAAGAAAGGCTCTCGGATGTGTCCCAACAGACAAGGTAAAGATCTACATCGAAGTACAGGGAGAAAACGATGTCACAGCTGTCTTAGCTCGCAGAGAAGAGCAGCACATCAAGACAAACCTCGAGTTCCCAATCAACTTAGGAAAGTCTGCTGCTGGTGAAGAAATGTTCGGCGGAAAGACATACGAGGATAAGATCGGTGATGTCGTAGTCACAGTTACACTCGTCAAGGCTTAATTTCTCTCATTTTTTTCTTTCTTTTATTTCAATAAAAAAACATTACGATTTTTTTCTTTATTCAATATTCTCTATTTTTGTAATTCAGAAATAAATAATTATTACATATGATGCCAATATATGCCTAGTTAGGCGATGATGTTTCAAGTTCAAATGTCTTCTCAAATATTACCATATCGAAACAAAAGGGAATCGTGAAAAATCTCTTCGAAGAGAAAATAATAATTAATCCGAATATTGACTGTATTTGAAAAAAAAATAAAGGTTTTAAGGGTGCCCTATAGACGATAGACCACCCTCAGAAAAGCACTTTTAAGGTTATTATATTGAGAACTAGAATCTGGATAATCCATTCATTCGAGTTCTAATAAGGTTAATTTTGTGATGTTTACATTATCGTTATAGGGCACCCTTAAAATTATCAAATGATTTTGAAAGCAACTTTTTAGTGAGGTTGTAATAAACAGAAATTCATCAAAAGTGACAGCTCTCAATTTTTTGACATTTGTAAATTCTAAATTGAATGAGAAAAATGAAATAATACTAAGCATAATACAATATTCTAGATTTAATTATAATTAGGAAAAAGTTGGTTTTGAGAGTACTTTTCATAGGCATATAGAATGAAATCTTCTGAAAAATAATATCACATAAACTCATATTATTTTCTAATATATAACTATTTTATATAAAAATCAAATTCAATGATCTTAAAAGCGAAGGATAAACCTCAAAATTTACGAATATAATGAGTGGGAATATAATGCTTATCTATCATAAAACCATATGAAATATCAATTTTTGCTTTACGCCTAATTTTTGACGCCATTAGCAAAAAATGTTAAATGTTAACACTCAGTCCATTTGAATATGAAAAATAAAATTGACTTTAATTAATATTTAAAAACGTGCTCTATTAAAAGTTCCAAAAATTCAATATTTTAGCTTTTCTGAGGTGTCACTTTTGATGAATTTCTGTTTACAACAAGGTAAGTATATCTTCATGCATTATAGAATATGGTGTGCTTTATTTCTTATTAAATAAAACATGTTATAATTCAAACTCCATTTTCCTCAAAACAACGAAAAATCAATAAAATAATCAAGATATTTCATTATGTGTGTTGATAAAATTGATTTAAGGGTGCACCCGTATGTACGTTTATTTGAGAGGAGGAGGATTACCCTCTCAATTTTGAGGGATTCGTTAGTTTATTTTCTCGACGAATATGCAATAAAATTTGATTTTTACCTTATCAATATACTTCATATAATATACACATGTTCATGTAAAAACTTTTTTCCAAAATCCTCAGGAATTAAGGGATTTTTGAATTTTAAGAATTTTTTTCGAATTTTTTCGATAAAAAAAATATTTTCAGAACAGCCTTAACGGCTAAGATTTAGGAACAATGTTAAGTATCAAAAAGAAAGGAGGTCTGATATAGACAACATATATCGTTGAAGGTTGAAAAAATCTCTAATATTTGAGCCCAAAATTTCAAATTTTAATTTTTTGAAAAAAGAGGCCACCCGTATGTACGTTTATTTGAGAGGAGGAGGATTATATTTTTGAAAGGGTGAAACATTATGAATATGTTAATTATATAATAATATGTATTATTATAAAAAAGAAAAAATAAAGCACGTTAAAATTTTTCTTTCTTGATTTTTTACAAAATCTACTTAGAATTATGCAAAATATGACTAAATAATTATAAATTTCAAGTTAAATTTTAATTTTGATAAATAATTTAAATTTCAAAATATCAAGTTCAGTTCGACTATGTATGTAGTAATTCCTCAATAAAGTGCCAAAACCCTATTAAAATATATGAACATTTTCAACATTTGAATGTTTTTATTTAAAAATTTGCTGGAATATGAGCTTCAAACAATTATTATGTAAATAAAAATAATTAAATATATGTATTTATTCGTATTACAACCGTAGTAAGTCGATTCTTCCTTTCTTCTACTGAGGTTTGAATTTGATTTCGAATTGTAAAGAGATTCAAAGGGAAAATACTAGCGGATAAAAACTACCTCCATGAAAGGGTCATAATGGAGTCAAGTTGTATTTTTTGATATTTTTTGCTTTTCGAGCCTAAATAGGTAGCCAAGATAATGCCTAAAAATAAGGTTCTAAATTCTGAAGTTTACATGATCCTCTCGTGTGCACCCTTAACACATAGAGTACTCTCATATTGGGGGAGAAAAAAAACTAGTTTTTAATTGAAATTTTATTTTTTAAAAAATTGTAGTGGACAAAGACAGTATTGATTTCTTTGGATTGAATTTCAATTGTTCAAATTGTTTCTTATCTACTGTCTCCATATCTGAAATAATGCATGTCTTAAATGAAATTTCATTGATACTCCTAATTTTATTTCTTTTTTGTTTCAAAGAGTAATCAATCTGTTTTAATTTTCTTTTTAATTCATCAAGTTTGTGTTGTTGACTATATTCATCTGCCGAATAATAAACTATAGGTTTACCACAAAATGTAGATGCTAAATAAGAATTTGGGACATAAACTGACTCTGCATATGACGATATCATTTTAAATATAGATCCATCCATATTATAATCATTCTTTTCTGATCCAGTATAATAATATTTTTCGGCTTTTAATGTTTCGGCAAAAGATATATTATCTCCAAATTTAAGTTCTTTGAAAATATTAGGGCCTGAACGTTCTGTTTGAGGTGAAATAAAACAATTTTTTCCAAACTCAATAATTTCAACAGTTCTTCGGTATTCTAAAATCGCACTTCCGAAATAACTATTTGATGGCACCTTCAGAGTTGACATTTGTGACCCAAGGATAAATGAATCGCCATAGTATGTTACAATTCCAGTAATCTCAATGGTTTCGAGCGAATAGGATTCCCAAAATGAATAATCTGGGATTCTGTTTATTTGATTTCCAAATTTGACACTCTTCAAATTGTTGCAGGAATAAAAGCAGTAATCTCCAATAGAAACTAAACTATTAGGAAGAATAATTGATGTGATGTTGATTCCAAGGAAATTATAATTTCCAATATTTTTGACTCCTTCTTCAATAATTAAAGAATTTGTATTTTGTAATCCAATGAAAGAATAATCTCCAATAAATTCTATGCATGATGGTATTGTAATTTCATGAACATTTACTAAATTTTCAAAGCAATTATCAGGAATATATTCTATTTTGGATAAAATTGATGATATATTCAATCCATCACATGAACAAAAAGCGCCTTCTTGTAGTTCAATCGAATGATGAATGTTAAAATCTAAAGTTCTTAATTGTTTACAAGAAGCAAAAGCATATTTACCAATCATTTTTAAAGAATCTGAGAAAATGACTCTTTCCAAATTTAGTGAATTAGCAAATGCGCAATCTCCTATAATTTCAACACCTGAAAGATCTATTTCTGTCATTTCTGCATTTGCAAAGCAATAAGTTCCAATTTTTTTAATGGAATTTTGTGAAATTAAACCAAAACTGCATCGATAATAGCAAAATGGTGGAAGATCTATAATATTACTTGGAATGGTTAATTCGATAAACTGCTGCCCGGAATATTCATAAGCTTTATAACCTGACTGTGGTTCTGGAAATTGGATTGTTATTGATTCAGGTAAAGATTGAAAACTTAAAGAAATATCAAGAGTATTACATATTATTGTTGACAATTTCCCACAATAATAAAACGCTTGTCTGCCAATTAGTTTTACACTTGCAGGTAATGTTACCTTTTCGAGATTAGAGCAATGGTAGAATGAAAGCATTTCTATTGAAATCAGATTTTCTGGTAAATCCAAAACTTCAGTTCCAAAAAATATCTTATTTAAATTGATCTCTGTCAATCTTTGATTTTTATAATATGATAATGGAAGAATTTTTGTATCATTCTTCTTAAATTTATAGTGAATAATGCAATATCGTGGGAATGCTTCCCAATCAATCAACATTTGATTCTTCGCAACAACATTTATTGGCAATTGAATTCTTTGTAAATTTTCGCATAACATAAAAGCAGTTATATCTAATTCAACTACAGTATCAGGAATAATTATATTTGTCAAACTAGAACATTTTCCAAACGCTAATATCTTAATACTTTTTAAATTTGGAGGTAATTCTATATTTATTAGTTTAGAACAAAAAGAAAAGGCATTATTTGAGATCTCTTCAAGAGAATCCGAAAACTTAATTGATTTCAAATTAGAACATTCATAAAATGAAGATTTTTGAATCTTTTTTAAATGATTTGGCAAAATTATATTTTCTAATGACTTGCAATTTGTGAAGCATCCATACCCTATTGATTTAACTGATATTGGAATTGAAATATTCTTAAGTTTTGAGCATAATGCAAAAGCCATATTACCAATACTGTAAATTGTTGCATAAATTGAAACATTATCCAGTTCTGTGCAGTTATAAAAGCAAAATGAAGGGATTTTTTCAATATTCCCAATGATTTCGACACTTTTAATACTTGAATTTGATTCAAAAATTCCATAAATATAATCACCATCGATAACACACGATGCATTAATATCGCATCTAATATTCATATTTTACTTTTTGTTCTTTTTGACCAAAAAAAGTTTAGAAGAATAAACAGAAACTTTTTTATTGTGATCAAACTGTCTCAATTTTGAAAGAGCAAATAAATTTTATTGAAAATTGTCAAACTAGAAATAATTAACATTAATTAGTGATTAATTAGAGTATAAAACAATGCTCAATTCTCTGGTATCTTATTTTTCTAAATTTTTTATTGATAAATATAATTACGGATCTCCTATTTCCTTGAAATCATTCATTATATCACATGAAGGACCAGCTATTTCTTTTATTTTTGTAAAATATATGATACAGGTCAATGAATCAGACACTAGAAATCTTGTAACCACATTCTCAATCAAAATAACAACCAAACTTTAGGCTGAGTATTGGAGAAATCATCAAAAATATAAAAGTGAATTTTATCTAGAATAATTTGATGACGATTCCGAAATATTCAACCACATGTTTTGAGGTGAATTGTTCCTATGAAAAAAAATCTTTTCAAAAAAAAAAAAGTGAAAATCTTTTGCAAATTTAGAGATTAAATATTTTCAAAATTGGAAAGGGTTATTTTTGGAATTGTTGGATGACGGTTATATACTTTTTTAAAACTCCTTGCTAATTCAACGATTTTCAGAAGCGATATCAAAGGGAATATATAATGGATTAATAAATTGTTTGAGATTAATTATGAAATAAAAGCAGTTTCTCACAATTAAGCAATTGATCAGACTGAAAATCTTGGTGTTATTCATAATAACATTGACTTTTAGAATAATATTTTTAATTTAAAAATTTGCAACGAATATTAAAAGTGTTAAAAATGATTAGTTGGATAATAGCTACAAGGTTCCAAAAATTACCTAGGCCTCCACATTTTGATGTACCGCAGCAAAATGGTGACCAATATGATGATAAATGCGCTAAAAGGATTTTTAATGATACCCCTTTCACAATTGAAGGAATTGCAAGACTATATCATGTGACAGTCGATGATATTAAGCAGGCCAATCCTGGTATAGGTTATAATATACCAGAAGGACTTATTTTGAAAATTCCTCAAAAATGCCCAGAAACAATGGATGAAACATTATATATGGACTCTCCGGATTTTAAATCAGCTGCAGTACTCCGAAATGGCGCATTACTCCTTTGTTTTTGTTATATGTTTAGCACTACGAATGCAGAACAATGTGAAACATTCATGAAATATAATCACGGTTTCGACCAAGATGGTAATTTAGTTAATATTCATAATGCAATGGATTATGCCTATATCAAAAACTCTACTGATTGCAGTGAACCTTTCGGTGGTCAGTACCAATTAAGACAATATAACATTAATGGAAAATATCACTGTGCTGTTAAATCTAATATTCATTTTTATGACCCTGGACGCAATATTGTGAAAGACAGTTATCCTTATACATCACTCTGCTTTGAAGAAAAATGAAACTTAAAATTTAAATTTTTTTTTCTTTGATATGAATTTTTTTGAGTCCATGTATTAACTTCATCAAACATACAATGGAATATGGTATTAAAAATAATGTTGTTTCCATCTCTAAGATTTATTGCTGATGTTTTTGGCAATTCGACCATGAATAGAATATACTATCTATGCGATATTATACAAATATCCAAACATAAATTAGCAAAAAATCGGAAATTGGTGCACAAATTCATGAAAATAGCAAAACAAATAATATTTCATCGTTTAGATTTAGTTAAGAGAAAATCAGATAAAACAGTTTGGATAATATTTCTATATAGAATATGGAAATTAGATAATGAGGAATATTATAGCGCAATAAAAATATGGAAATTAAAATTTAATGAGAGGATGTTACCAAGGCAAATCGCAGTCTGGAAGATAATATTCTTCATTGCTTAGCCTTTCATAAAACTACGAGCATATCAGGTGAAAAAAAAATTAGTGTTAATTGAAGCCTCTTCTTGATTTAGAAAAATGCAGATTATGAATGATAAACTATGTTAAGATGCAAAATAAAATCTGATTTAGAGAAATATTTGAACTGTTGATTTCTTCTGATTTTACAAATTTAAATGTAAAATTAGAGTAGTTAAATGTGATTTAAAAATTTGATCTTCAAATTGTCGAACTAAGTGCTCTTCACCATCTAATGGCCCATCCTGCTTATAGGCGTCCAAAAATATTTCCGTATTAACAACGATGATTGATTTTAAAAATTGACGACTATTCAAATTTGAAAGATGTTTACAAAATCTGAAATAAAACTGACAGAAAATGTTAAATTGGATAATAGCTGCAAAGTTCAAAAAATTACCTAGGCCACCACATTTTGATGCACCAGAGCAAAACAGTATCCCATTTGATGAAAAATGTGGTAAAAAGATTCCTATTGATAAACCATTTGGAATTGATGGAATTGCAAACATGTATCATATAACAGTCCAAGATATTCAAGATGCCAATCCAGGTATAGGTATTCGTATACCAGAGGGAATTGTTTTGAAAATTCCACAACTATGCATAGGTGAAATGGATAAAGAACATCGTACATACTCAGGCTACTTTAAATCAGATTCAATAGCACGAAATGGATCGTTGCTCCTCTCTTTTTGTTATATGAGTCCATGGGCGCGAACAAACGCGAAAAATTGTGAAGGTTTCATGAAACATGGTAATGGTTTCGACAAAGATGCCAATTTAGTTGATCTAAAGGATGCTATGGATAATGCACACCTTATAAGAATTAAAAAACGTGAAACACTAGATACTACGCAGTACGAACTAAGGAAATATAACTTCAATGGAAAAATTCATTATGCTGTTAGATCTAGTTCTGGTTTTTATGATCCTGGTTACGATGTTGTTACCAGTGATACTCGTCCTTATAAATCATTCTACTTTGAGGATTATATTGATGAAGATGATGAAGAAACTGAATTTCTTTTGGATTAAAATTTATTTTCAAATTGAAACAAATGATGAGCTGACTAAAGCTCAATTGTTTTTAATAGACTTTTGGCGTTCCATCTTGTAATAAGAAGAGCTTATGAGGAAAATACCCATTGAAACATTTCCACGCTTCTGTTGATTTGTAAAGCAAATATTTACCATAAAGCCCACAAAATTTGTTCATGTGAAGCATTTATATTTTTTGTTCTAAGTCAAAAAAGAAAAATTAAACTTACCTGAATTTCTTTATGCTATTCGAATACTTAAAATCAACTATTAAGTTATATAATTTGAAATTTAATTAGAATATTGCTTATTATAAAGTGCTGAATATCCTAGTGTATTTAGAGATTATGAACTTTTGTAAAAATGATTTAAAAATATGGATTAAAAATCATATTCAAACAAAATAATTTAATTTTAACAATTTATTGAATAATATATAGTCTATATTGTGAGTTGTTGAATATTTGAGGATAGTGTATATTACATGAGTAAGGGTGATCAGAATTTTCTAAGATATATCTGATTTTATTTGTTTTCAAAAGAGAATCATCAAAATTGTGAATCATTGATTTATATTCGTGTATAGAATCAGAGATAATCTCTCCCTGTTGAAGTAAAATGTCAATAGATCCCAAAAATGTTGTTTTTCCGCCAATTACTGTGATTGGATAGAAATCTGTTGTATTTGCAAGGATAATTTCGTTTTCCTTGACATATTCAAGTATAAATTGACCAACTTCTGTCATTGATTCTGAGATATTAAAATCAGATTTTGTTTCTGTGACTTTAACGCAGTTATAGAATCCAATGAACTTAAAGCACAACAGAAACAATAAAATTGATATTAAAATTCCATAAAATTTCTTAGAAATAAAATTATTTTCTTTTTCTAAAAATTCTAAGATATTGCAGTATAACAAAGGTAACAAACAGGTACATACTATAATAGAATAGCTGTAGTAGTCATTATCTTCTCTAAATAACGAAAAAAACAAAGAAATTGAAAATCCAAGAGTTGTCATCGATTTTCTTTTATCAGAATAGATGATTCCCAACAAACCAAGACTGGAAAGTCCTAATTGCTCAATTATTGGCAAAAACATTGAGAAATAATACCCTTCATCTGAATATCTTCTCCAAATCGGTTCATAATGTAAATTTGACCTCAAAAACTTGAAAACGATGAAAATTGAGAAGGGAAACATTGAAATCCAAAATTTTTTGAAAATTGAACAAAAAAGAAAAATTGAAGAGGAAACACTGACATAAGGAATCAGAGCTGCAGATATTCCGGCTAATATAGATGGTCTACAGTTGTTATTTGCAAATTGGATCAAAGATAAAGATAAAAAGGATAATGCAATGGAAAATGAAGATTCTTTTGGTAAAGAAAGAATATGTGCTAATATCTGGTACGAGGGAAGAGGGAAATGTCTTTCTATTTCATGAACAAAATCTAAATTTGGATTATCAGCAAATAAATAACGGAAAGAAGCAAATCCTGAGCTTGTAAAGTATAATAGAGATAGTATTATTAAATGTGAACTATGTGTTCTTGTATAATAAAAGAAAAATGAAATTGTTGATAAAATATTGAGAAAATTGATTGTAATTGATGTGATTTGGTAATTACTAGAAAGTAACTCACATGCTGCCATATAATAATAGATGATAAATGGTCTTTTTAATGGATAATTTGGTTGTAATGGATTTTTAAAAGAAAGAAATTCATTCCTATGACGATTTATTCCATACAATATGGAATTTATATATGATCGTTCTGTTGATTTAGTATAAAACGAAATATTTGATTCAGATTGTTTTAAATAAAGTTTGTTAAGGTAAAACAAAGAAAAAGAACCGATTATTGCGAGTAATAAATAGATATGGTATGATTCTTGTTTGATGTTTTTTGTTTTTTGGTTTGGATTTTGATTTTTAAACAGTGGAAACAAAGAGTACATGATAAAACTTGATACAAAATGAAATACTATGACTAGATGAACCAGAAGTTTCGATAAGACAAAGAAATAGGATAAGGTGAAAATTAAATATGACGTCAATAAGGAACCGATAAGCCATCCTGCGAGTATCTGATATGGATTTTTCCATTCTTGGCCTAAAATAATCCGATTGAAATGATATCCAAATACGGTTGACGAAAAACTTAAGAGCAAGGAATAATCAAAATTCAACAATATCAACAAATGAAATAATAAAAATGTTAATAAGCATCTTTTATTGTAATTTATATTGTTGATAATTAACAATGATTTGAAATATCAATTTGAAAAATTTTGATCGAACTGTTTTTAAAATTTCTATCAAATATCATATTACTTTGTTGTGTTTAGCATAAATTATCACTTAAATATGTCTAGAATTCGGATTTTTCTATCAAATTATAAAATCGGGGACAATAGAATGTTAAACTATCAAAATTCTATAGGGAAACAGTTAATAAATGAATAAGCACTGTATTTCTGAACTGGCAGCAAATAAATCTGAAATTAACCTCGAATCTTACAATTGGATCCGAAAATAAGGCAAAATGAGAATTGGATTCGAAAAAATATATACAAACAATTTACAAACAAAAAACTCATTAATATTGACCTGGATGGTTAAACCAAGCAAAATTCTTCGGAGGAGCATTTTGGCCTGCCTCAGCTTGCATAGCATAAGGGTTTGGCTCAGGTCTTACATATTGATTCATCTGTGGCGGCATCGGTCTCGGTGAAGGCATCACCGGAGGACCCATTTGCGGAGCCATAGGAGCTTGTACGACAAACATAGGTGGTGGCATTGGCGGGTACTGACCGTATTCAGGCCTTTGCGGTGGGAAATATGCGTATTGAACTTGTTGTGGTGAAGGAGGTGGAAAATTCATTGGAGGTCTGAATGGTGGAGGTGCATAAACTGGTTGTGGCTGTGGTGGAGGTGGTTGGTTGTTGAATGGTGGTCTCTGAACTGGAGGCCTTTGATTGTATGTGTCAGTAATTTCGATTAGTAATCTGATTTTTCCGCCTTTTGGTTTGTCTATGCATGGAATCATATCGAACCACATATCGTTCATCCTTCCTACAGGAATTGTACGTAATGGTACTTCTAACCGTGAGATAATTTTGTGTTGATCTACTGTGTTCCAATCTTTTAATTGGATGATTAAGTAGTCTGCGCCGAGATTTATTATATTGAAATCGAACCTTTGGTTCCAAACAGGCGCTAATGTGTCGTCGCAATATTTTGTGCGGTATTCTGCTGCATCGCTTGAGATTTTCATCACAAGATAAGGATCTGTTTTCGACAGAAAGCCCATCTTAGGAATGTCTGTCGCCTGTATAGCGACGACAGTCACTTTCATTCCTGCGATGAATCTAAGTTCTCAATGTTTTTCGATAATTTTGTTTGAATGGTTTATTTTAAAATTTTAACAATGATTAATTATCAATAGTAGATAAGAAAAAATGGGATAATTTTCTAAAAAAAATTTCAATGAGTGTTTGAGGTTTATAGAAAGAAAATTCAAAATTAATCTACTAGCGTTGGCCTCATACTTCGTTCAAGCGAAAAATATCAATTTGATGAGATCAAAATCGGAATTCGATTTTTTTGAGAAGAAATCGAAAGAATAAATCTTAATAACTGTAGATGTGTGTGGGAATTAACCTCAAAACTGATAGTTTTCCAATGGCTCTCAAAAGATGTTCCTTTTTCTTTTGATTTTTCTGGGTTCCGATAATTTCATTGAAACTTTTAAAAAAGAATAATTTTTGTTAAAATATAAGTGGAAGTTTGTCATCTGATGATGTCAGGCGTTCTATAGATCATATTCCCTGGAAAGAATCTTTCTTTCGACCCAATTTAGCACCATGTCCCGCAATAATTTGATTCAATATGCCGTTCATTATATATTAGTTTGTTTGCGTATATGTTCCTTGTGTCTGGACTGAAAATGTATTGATTTGCGCATATGTTTTTGGGCAGCGATAGATTTGAAACCTAAAATTTCAATAAATTTTCCAAAATTTGAAAAATATCAAAATGTGAAATAGAAAAGTAAAAACCATTCTTTATAAATAAAATATAAATATTACATGAGTGAAGAACAATAAAAATCAATTAAATTCTTAGAAATTGAAGAAATTAGTGTTATTTGTGTTTTGAGCAGGTTTCTGCTGGGAATTGTTACTAAAATCGAAAGACTGGTTGCCAAAGCCACCAGCATTTGAAGGAAAATCAAATGTTCCTTCAAAATTGCCAGAATTCGAAGAAGGGAACTCAAATGTTCCAGCAAAGTTTCCTTGGCCAGGTTGGCCGGAGTAACTGAAACCGTCACTTGAAAATGGAGCTTTTTGCTTCGGTTGTTGGTTAAATCCGGTTGTTTGAGGCTGATTAAAGCCTGGAGAAGGCTGTGCGTTGAAGCTTGGTGCAGCAGGTTTATTGTTGAATGATCCGAAATCGTCATTAAATGGATTTGAAGGTCTTGGAGAAGGAATTACCGAATTAAAGGTATTTTGTGGCTTGGAAAAGTCTCCAAATGATGTCTGTGGCTTTGGTGCTTCATTCTTTGGTTTGGTTGAAGAAGCAAATGCTTCGAAATCTGTTGTATTTTGTTTCGGAGCTGGATTAGAAGGTTTTGGCGAGAAATCACCAAAATCATTCTTAGGAGCAGCATTGAATGTGTTCTGTGGCTTCGGAGTTGATGCAAAAGCATCGAAATCTGTTTTTTGGGATGAGATATTGGAATTTTGTGGCTTTGGCTGGGAAGAAAAGTCTCCGAAATCATTCTTAGGTGGTGGTGGAGCTGTTGATGGCCCACCAAAGAGGTCTTTTGCACTTGACTTAGAATTTGGTCCGAAACCAGCAGCAACAGGAGTTGTAGGGCTGTTGTTTGAAGCAGTATTTGTCGGAGAAGATGAGAAATCGAATGGATTGTCTTCAACTTTTCTCATTGAACTGTCAAAAACAGCAATTCCACTTCCAGAGCTTGTTGTTGGCTTTGAAGGCCTGTCGAATACAGAAGTACTTGGTTGCGATGGTTTTGTATCCATGGAGAAGTCAATTGTCGGTGGTTTCTGAGAATTATTTGTATTTGCTGGTTTAGAACCTCCAATGAAGCTAGAAGAGAACGGATCGAAGGCGTCATTGGTGCTTGGAGGTGGTTTGGCAACTGGTGCTGGTGCAGGAGCCGGAGTATTTGATAATGAAATAGAAACTGCGACAGAAGAGGTCGGAGAAGGCTTCGGAGTCGACAAATCTCCAAAGATATCATCATCTGTATTGGCTGCAGTGACTTTATTCACTTGTGGAGCTGCATTTGCCGATCCAGATCCGAAAATATCGGAAGCAGTATTTGCAGCGGTTATAACCTTGTTTGTAGCGAACGGATTGTCTGGATCCTGTTGGGTTGTCGTTGTAGAAGCTATTGTTTCCTTGAAATCCCTCATTTGAGTGGCAATCGAGATAACATTGTTGCAGAACTCCTTCCTTACGTCATCTCTGAGTATGTGGCCACCAGAAATTATGCAAAGAAGTGGGACAACCCTGATCATCATGACATCTGGGGATCCTTTGAGTTTTCTACAGATCTCTAGTATGGATGATGCTGTTTGCTCGCTACTTCTTCGTTGCCAGACCTCTTGAAGACGTCCGAAATAGTCATTTATGAAAGATTCGGAATCTGACTTATCCAAGCACTTGGCAATGCAACGTAATGCTGATGCCGATACATGGATATCCGTAGAATTCGAAACTAAATCCATTAATCTTGGAATAAGCGTAGATTGTATGGCTTGGTCGTTCATTTCATCAATAATAAGGTCTACTTTCTCAAGACATTCGACGTGGACCTTCGTGTTCTTGTTCTGAAGCGCTGTGAAGAAAACTGGGTAAACATAGTCTTTATGTAGTCTGATATCGAGTTTTTTGAGAAGAAGCCACATGTTTCTGAGTAATGCGATTGCAATTTCAGGTGGATCTTGGATGCCTGATAAGAAGGCGATCTTATTCCAAACATTTTCTTGGAAATCGCGAGCATCGTAATCCTTTGAGATCATGAATATAGATGCGAGTAAAATTGGTGCGAATCTGACATCGTTCTTGCATTCTTCGAGTAATTTTGGTAAAATTTTTACGCGTTGAATTGAAGGAGAGAAATAATCGATCTTTGAACCAAGACCTTTGTAGAATTTGAACTTATCTTGTGGTTGTTTTGTCAAAATCATGTCGATGTAACGTAAAGACTTCATTTGCATCGAATTAAACGCAGGATCTTCAAGAATACGTGAGAAAACAGGGCGCTGGACTGGTTGCTCTGACAAACATTGCTGTAAAATGTACTTAAACTCTTCAGGAACTCCTGTCATGTTAGAAGTGTAGGAATAGAGATTATTAAGGATCTGCTGAGGGTCGCCACTTGAATAAAGATCTTTTCCTGTAAAGCATTTATAAAGGAAAAGACCAAAAACAAAAACATCAGATGTTGGACTTAATTCATAGTTTCTGAGGAATTCTGGTGGTCTGATGTAGTTGTTGGAATTTTTAGACTTTGCATCTGCCAATAACTGAGGCGTAGGTTCAATATTTTCGGCATTAATAATCGGAGTAGCGAATTCGAATTTCATAAGATGTACATTGAGCTCTTTATCTACCATAACGGCTTGTGGACATAATCCTAAATGGAGAACGTGAGCCTCAGCGTTGATGAAAGATAAAGTTTCAGCAATTTGGTAAGAAATGTAAGAAGCATCAAGAGGATGCATATTATTAGTATCTAGATAGTCCATATCATCGATTGTTTCAGAAGCAAAACCGATTTCTGGTTTCTTATCGAGATATTCCATAACTTTGATAACATGAGGATGTCTGATCTTTCTGATAGCTTGTATAGAAGCTATTTCATTATCTAAAAAGGTATTCCTCATGGATTTATCAGGAAACTTGGCTTTTAATAAATCTTGGTCGACAATCCATAAAGAAACACGTTCGTTTGTTGTTTTATGGACGCCTGAGAAGATTTTATAGCAGCCAACAGTTCTTATCTGTTTGACATCGTTATAATTGGCGGAAAGCTGGCCACCCATATGTTTGTAAAAAAAATAAATTGAAACCGGAAGCTTGGAAAATGCAACCGATTTCATTTTTGTGCAGATTTCGATTAAACATGTAGAAAAGAATCAGTTTTCCCTTTGTTTGATGATCTGAAATTTCCAAAAAAATTTCGAAAATCTAAAAATAAAATGAAATTTCTATGAAAAGATACTCAAAATAATAAATTTGAAAAAAATTTGGAATTTTGATTATAGCTATTATACTTTATTTTACATCATAAATGCAAAGCATCATTAAAATTTTGATTAATTACTTTTTTATGTTATAATTTTTTAATATCACACCAAAATAATTGTTCATTCTGAGATATTACCTTGTAGTTCTCATTTTGTGCAATGATATATGTAAAATATCGCTTTGTATGAACATAATTCATTCAAATTTCAAGTGATATTCGACTTCTATCTGATTTTACCTTATCATATCTAACAAAACATATAATATTTAGGGCTCTTTCATATAGCTTAAACCAAAACTCGCTTCCTGATAAAATCTTATGAATATTGAAGATCAAAAATGCGGTATTCATGACAATAGTGAACAAACTAACAATATTTCCCCATAAAATTAACAATTCATGCAGATTCACAGGTGAACATCCATATGAAACCTACGAGATTTTGTGTCAAAATATTTTTATAAAATGGATGTAAACAAGCAAATAGAGATATTAAAAAAGGAACATGAAGCCGCAATTGATAAATTTGATTTTGATAAGGCAGAGTCTATTTCAATTCAGATACAGAAGCTTCAAAAAGCCATTACAAATTCTAATCAAAAATTAGATCCATTTCTAGAAGAAGCTGAGAAAATTAAAGCTTCTGAAAACGCAACAAAAACCAAATACACACAAGAACGCATTGAGTTACAAAGGAAATTCCACGAACGATTCGAAGAATTAACAAAAAATCAGACAACAGAGATGAACAATTTAACTTTATCATACTCGCTTGCTCGTGAAAGAGAGCAGAAAAGACCAGTTCATGAAGCTGAATTGAAATACGAGCAAGCCAAGAGTTTTGGAACTGCTCATAACTATGATTTGGCTAAGGCAGTTTATCAAGACGGTGTACGATTAGAAAAGAAAGCTAGGCAACGCCGACTTGATCAGTGCGAAGAAAATTTTTTGAAACAAAAAGAAAAACTCGAGGCCAAACATAAGAAAGAGACAGATTTACTAATGGAAAAGCAGCGCAGTGCGCTTCAAGAATTAGAGTTACGTGCTAGTAAAGAACATACGAGATTGAACCTCGTTGAAAATGTTGCAAAAACAAAATCATCATTAAAGAAGAGAGATGTACCAAAAGTTTCTGGAGTCATGTCACCAAAGAAGAGATCTCATTCATCAGTTTCAACTAAATCGCCAGATTCAGCTCGGAGATATAATTCTTACTCTCGTGGAAGTTTCTTATATTCAGCAACACCATATTAATTCGCAGATATACTATTATTTGTTTATTTTATTAAATTCTATCAGATATTTTCAATCTCAGTTCGAACTATTTACAGCTATTATAAATAAAATCGCTACACTTACACAAAAGAATGCTTAGAAACATGAAGGAATAGATTTTATTGCAAATTTTACTTTATGAAGTTTTTTCATTAGTAAAATATGAAGATATGATTTGTGGAATCCGATATCGTTCAGCGGTTAGGATATGTGGTTTTCATCCACAGGATCGGGGTTCGACTCCCCGTATCGGAAAACTTTTTGTTTTTTTAGAAATTCTTCTTTTTTTTGTGCATTCTTTGATTCAATGCTTTTGGATCCTATCTGCAAGCTGAGAGTTCTCTGTTACATGGATTGATTATATTTCAATCTCTGATGATTCAACCTTTGTATCTTTTATTACATTTCAAGTTAATGAGTCAATCTATGTCTAATAGCTATGATTGGATTCATCACATTTCCAAACTGTAATCGCATTATATGAACTACACTACATCTATCTTTGAATTTTAATTTTTTATAAAAAATTATTCTGGATATTTTGAAATGATTTACGATGAAAACACAACCATTTATGATGGTGAATCAATATTTCTCTTCAATATTGAGAATTGGAGGTTGAGTGTTGAATCTTTTTTTCCCGATCGAAAGTTTTGACATGTCAGAAAGTCCGCCATTCAATACATATGTTTTGGAACAAATTCGGTGAATTTTATTTTTCGATTTTCGGACTGAAACAGAATTTGCCATCTGACATCAATTTCGAATTTACCTCTCGCAAATATTACTAAAAATCAGATGATAATTGCTGTACACAGCACAATAAATAATAATTCCCTAATTACCGAAAACAATGTAATTTCGATGACCAAAAATCAAGTTACTACGTAGGGAGTATTCTGTAAATATCGAGCAGAGATTAAATAAATGATATTGTTTAAAAATCAAAAAAAGATTTGTATTTTAAAGTAATAAATTAGTGCTACTAATAAAAATATATCAAGTAATTACTGCTGATGGCTATCTTCTAGAACAACATAATCAAGGAATGGACGGATGGAAGCCCAGTTCTCCTCAAACCACTTAATAAGAACAGATTTCCTTCTCTTTGCATCACGATCTAATTTGATATTAGCATTTTGTGCGAGGACATTGGCAATACTTAAAAGCTCTGGCTGCTTAATACTTGCACCAAATCTTTGTGTAATTTCATGCCATACAGAGTTATCCTTTGGATTGAAGCCTGCGAGACGTTCAGCAATACGCTCTTTTTCTTTTGTTCCAGCAGCCTCTGGTTGCTGGATGATTTCTTGTGTACCATGCATTCCATTGTAAAATGGCTGATATTGATTATTGAATGACGGATCTACCCACTGAGTACCATCCTTTGTTGGTGCTGGGGCAGCAGCATGTGGGTCAATGGGCTGTATCATTGCTGGCAATTGCTCGCTCGTCATGAAATTAAAGCCCGCCAAAAAATTACGGTTTGACACAAAGTGCAAAACGGTTTTAATATGAACACGTCACTTTTCAACCGGTCTCTAGAAATTGAATAGTTGTAAATGTGTACTTTTGGTCGCAATAATAGAAATTTTACTCATTGTTTTTGGTTATTTCTTGGGAGATTTTATAGATAGAAGATCCACTCAAAAGAGATGCAATAGCTGTCTTATCATCAATAACTCATACTATCAAAGTTATATCCCATAATCATCATTTTAAAAGGAATTTATCCAATTTTTAAATTCATTAATCCCAAAGTGCCTCAAAAAAGATACAAATATCGATAATTTTACCAACTAATCATATTGACTACCAAATCTTTCTTACAAATAACATATTTATTTGTAATCTTTTCTAAATCGAATGATTTGTTAGTTAGTTGTTTTTAACATGACCATTTGATTCGGCTTACTTTGGTTAATCGCAATTATATTGAAAATATTAAATTTTTCATTTTGATACTTGAGTTTAGATAAGAATTATGTTGATGGTTTAAAAATAATGAGTAAGGTAGTTAATATAATATATAAGAAACTAAACTTTATTGGAAGAAACTTAAAGTTCATTAACCTGCTCTTCGCGTTTCTTTGGCTCTTCATTATCACTTCCTTCAGATTCTGGGAAGATGAAATCGCCACGATCGAGCATGAATCTTTCGTTCGGGATTTCACCGAATTTGAGTAATCTGCAGAGGGCACCACCAATAAGGCCAAAGATAAGAGAGACAGAGAAGGAGATGAGAGCACCAACTAATGTCCAGATGCCTGGGAACTTCTTGCAGTAAGCACCGATGAGTCCAACGAATGTAGCAACCCAGGAGCAAACGCCGTGAAGGTTGTGGACACCCATGACATCACCGATACCGAGCTTCTTCTGGAGAACTGGATGTAAGTAGTTGAATGAGCAAACTGAGACAATGCCAGAGATGACACCGACAAGGAGGCCACCCCATGGGCCAACGATGAAGAGAGATGTTGAAATGCCGACGCAACCTCCAAGAAGTGCGACAGCGTAGATAAGTGGATCAATTTTTCCACCTTTCTTGCAAGCGAGTTCAGCGAAGTAGGCAGAAATGATTGAACCGAGGCCGGCCATGTATGTTGTGATTACGTCTTCCCAAGCTTCTTTGCCCTTCCAGAAGATGGAAGTGAATGATGGCCAAAGAACGAAAAGAAGTGTAACAGCGAGCCAAAGCCAGTTGATACTGTGTGTTGTGAAGCGGTATTCAACACCAACAACGCGCTTCTCTTGGACTGCAAGAGCAACACCAATTCCGAAGTAGCAAGCGAACATGTGGACGGCAATAGCACCTCCTGGGTCGACGCAGCCCTTAATAACCTTCTCGGAAATGATAAGCCAGTCAACAAGATAGAAGCCGCAAGAGAAAACTATGCCAACCATGATATACTGCCAGTACTTGATTGTACCAACGAAAACACCAATGGAAATTGCATAAGCAATAGCTGCAAGAACAGCTTCAGCTGCAATTCTTTCTGTGAATTCACGATGGCCATCATGTCCAACTGCAACAGCCTTTAAGAAAGCATAGAATATGAAAACAGTAGCAGAGGAAAGAAGTGTAGCGAGCATGACACCCCACTCGAACTTCTTGATGAACATCATTAAAAATGCAATTAAGATTGTCATAAACCAGACATCAACGACCTTTGGATAAATGGATTCTGTATCGAAGTTTGCTGCTGCAACGACACGTGTATCGAGAGCCGGTCCGTTGCAGGAGACAAGGGAAAGAAGGAACAAAAACATTTTTGTCTATCGTTATCAAAGATCATCGTTGTTTTTTCTCTTTCGGTTTATTTAACGGTTTTCAAGCCACTTCTTAGGTAAAAAACATCACAATGTGTAAAGAAGCAGTAGGAGAAATCTTCCAGTATGATACCAAGAATTTTATTGAGAGGTTTTTTTAAATTGAATTTACAAAAACGATGAAAGAAAATTGAGAGTATTATTCAAAAAGCAAAATTGAATCATCTCGTAATATTTTTAAGCTAATATTATCAGATATATGTTTTCAAGCAATTTTCTAATAATTATGAAAAACAAATAATCGATCACACACACTAAACATCTGATATAGGCAAGATTTCCGAGGTTTCATTATTTGAAAGGTCTCAATTTTGGGAGAAATCAATAATTGATTTCACTTGTAATGTCCAATCTTTACTTTTTTTACTTCTTTTCTTATATAGCAATAATCAGTAGTACATTTATTATAATCTTATTCTCCATGTCAATTTTTGTTTAAATAATTTTTTATTTTGCAAATGAACCTTGAACATGCTAAGTGGCTCTTCATAGAGTCTTAAAATTCATTAATTATATTGTAATATTTAGAAATTGACATTTTTTATTTTATGATGTTTAAATTGAACAAAATTGAATCGATGTTAATAATATCTTCCTTCTAAAATCAGCAATCATCCCATTCCCTTTCATAAATATTTAGATTTTTATCTTAAAAATATATTTGAACTAGTTGAATATACAAATGTACAACAAAATAGATCTTATAGAATAAAAGCACTAAATCAATCAAATATTTTTCAATTTTTAATAATTTTAGAAAATTAAAAATAAAAAAGAAATACAGATAGATATATTTTTAAAGATGAAATCTAACCGCTTTAAATCTGGTAAACGAGAATAATTACAAATTATTTTAACAGCAACCTGTTTTCTCTTTCTTTTTCTTTTCAGAAATATTGACTGTATCTGCCTTTATTTCGCTTGTTGAAGTATTCATTTGAGTCCTTTCGTATTCTCCGATTGCAAGTTGGAAGATTCGATCAATTCCTGTTGCCGTTGTGGCACTTGTTTCACAATAAATTGCTTTGTGTTCAGTTGCAAACTGCTCGCATTTAGCCATATCGATATTTCTCTCAAGGTCGTTCTTGTTTCCTACAATTACAATAATAACATCTTCAGTACTATTTTCTCTAAGTTCTTCAATCCAGTATGCGACCGAATTGAATGTGACTTCTCTTGATATGTCAAAAACAATAAAAGCAATTGAAGCATTTCTGTAATACATTGGGGCAAGACCACGGTATAATTCTTGGCCGGCTGTATCCCAAATGAATAAGTTAAATGTGTTATTATTCAGTTCAAATTGTTTTGTGACAAATGCAGCACCTACCGTTGGAGCTGCAACCTCTGGCATTGCACCACTAACAAACATAGAAACGATTGATGTTTTGCCAACACCGCTGTCTCCTAACAACACAATCTTAATTGCGTTCTCATCATCTTCCATTTTAGAAAAAATGTTTTTTTTGTCGATATCCATTGACAAAATTAGAATTGCTTTTAAGCCATTGTTCCATTAAGTAAAGTATTCATCCATTTCAAATATCCGTTCAGCAACGGTCGAAAAAAAAATTCGCATATTCTTGATTCATTATTTTGACAAAAACAAAGGATATACGATTTGATTATGATAGTAGTTAGCATTATCCTTAATTCGAATGAGTTTGGCATGCCGAGATTAAAGAAAATTGAAATAACCGCAAATAACTCTCAAAAAAGTCAAACAATGTCACTTTTATATTTCATTTTTATTCGAAACGTTAAAAATATCAATTATAGAACAAATTTATGCTTCAATTATTTTTTGCCAAATTATTTTTGACCATTATCATATTCAATTTCGAAATTTGACACAACTATTTGAAAAATTACAAATATCGAAAAGACCATATATGCTAATAATATTTATGGATAAAAACAGTACAACTGTATTTAGCATCCTATAAGCATCTTTCATCATATTTTCTAGGCATTCTGATCAAATTTATAATTGAAATTTTTCAATATTAGTTGGTTTTGAGTAGGACACAATCACACGCTCATAACTATTATAGGGGTTGAATTCCATATGTATTAAATCACAACTTAATTGATTTTTTTTTTGATTCTCAAAATTTCATTGATATCAATTGATTATAATACGAGAAATCGTATTGAAGTATATATCAATCTGGATGAAATAAACGAATTCGCTCAAATTACGGAATACTGCCTTTTTTGTCTGCTTGAATAGTGAATTCGAAATTTTATTAAGGCATTAAATGAGGGATAATAGGCAATTTAAGAAATGATTCCTTATATATAGTCTGTGCTATTATTCGAATAGCTGATTCAATTGATTATTATAAGGTTTCTTACCCCTTCGAAAAATAAGTGGAATTTTATGAGTTTTTTTTCTAAAATCGACGATAATTATCGGCGCGTTCATTGAATATTCTGCATCCCTGGTTTTCCTTTCGTTAACAAAAATGTAATAAATCCATAGTACTGCCTATGGTCGTCATAAAATATCTTTGAGAAGAGTGACCTCGGTTAGTTATGCAGACCAAAACTGATCGGAAACCGATATTTTTATGAAAATAAATCGATCCTCTTGCCATCCAGATAGCTAAATTTCGAATGAAATTCAAAACAACTTCCTCTTATTGTTTGAAAAAAAAGTTTCTTTTTGATTGTAAAAAATAAAAAGTGATGAATATTTTATCATCATAACGTTTTTGAATGATGAATTAAGACATCCATGAATTTTCATATCGAATACTTTTTTATATCGATTATGTGTTCAGAAAAAGTGGTTTTAATATTGTGATGACTTCGAAAGACAATCCTGTTGACCAAGACCTAGCTGAGGAGGATGGCCTCATTGAGGCCGTCTACAGATTCAACGTTAACCCGAAAAAAAACATTGGATATTTGTGCGAATACAAAGGACTTGAATGCAATCCAAAGAACATTGCTCATTTAATGCATACAGTACCTGGATTACTCGGAGACCAGATCGGTGATTATCTTGCCAGGGCTGGAAACGAAGAACTACTCAGAGCATATTTCAATGAATTAGATCTAAAAAAGCCTTTCCTAGACGCCCTTCGAGTTAGCTTAAACGGATCCATGTTCTTACCAGGCGAGTCCCAAATGATTGAAAGAGTCGTAGAACAATTCTCAAGATGTTATATGGAACAGAACCCAGGAATTTTCCCTAATGAAGACGCTCCCATTGTCATTTCATTTGCTTTAATTATGCTTAATAGCGATTTACACAATCCGAACGTGAAGAGCCGTATGACGGGCCCACAATTCGTTTCTAACCTCCGTGGCGCACTCCCAACAGGTATATACACTGATGACCAGCTTATGCAGATGTATAATAACTTACACGCCAATCCATTCCACTTCCAGGAAAAGTCCAACGAATTTCTCGCTTTGTCAGCTCCTAAAATGCGTGGAGAACTTGAAAAGAAGTCCGACAAGTTCTTCTCGTTCTGGTCAAAACACTATTTCGTTTTGGCAAACTCATGTTTATACTATTTCAAAGATAACTCAGTTATTTCCAAAGATAAGCCACTCGGTATGATTCAACTCGTCGGTGTAGACATTGCCGAGCACAACGGAACAATTATTTTGACAGGAGAAGCAGGAAGTAAACTACAATACGTAAAATTCAAGAAAAACAGACCGCGGAAGATCGACGATACACAAAGAATGTATTTCAGAGCACCCAATGCTGAAATGCATACCAAATGGTTACGTCATATCCAGCATTCCCGTATTATTGGTGGATTTACAGGCGCACAGCTTATGCCTCCATCAGATCTTGCCATGGAACCACAAGAGCCAGCGCCAAAGACCCTCGATCTGCCAAAACCAGCCCAACTTAAGCCAATTGGCCCATCCGCGAAGAATATTCCAACTCCAAAGCGTAGCGACTCAGAATATTCATCATCTACATCGAAGGCATCATCAGAGAGAATCCACATCAAGAAGAAAAACCTTCTCCAGGATATTATGAACGAAGAAAAGCGCGAACAAGAGAATCAAGCCAAACATGAGGAAGAAGAAAAGCCAGAACCAGCACCAGCAGAACAGGCACCTCCTGTTCAACTCTTGGTCCCTCCAGAAGAGCAAAAACCAGATAATACCAAAAATGATCAAGATGCGGAAGAAACAAAACCAGCAGACGTTAAAGGATCATCATCTTCATCATCTTACACATATTCTACAAGCAGTAAGAAAGAAGAGAAAAAGCCAGAACCAATTCCAGAAGAAAAACCAAAACAGGAACAACCAGAGGAACAACAGATCAAAATACCTCATAAAGATGAGGTAAAAACTACGAAATCTCCAAAGAAAGAGAGAAAGAGCCACAATAAGAAAAATGATGAGTCCAGTGAGTCTTATTCTTACTCCTACTATACTTACTCTTTCAACTAATTAATTATTGTTTATCTTTTTATTTTTTGAGGACAAAATATCCAGACTTCTTGTTATATTAAATAAATTTAAAAGAATAATTTTATTTTTTTGTTACAAAACCTCCTAAAAACTATTTGGAACCATATAAAACCTCTTCTCAACATTTCAATAAATTTGAAAATTTTGATTTTTTAAAATTATCATGAATAATCAAAGCATTAAGTTCTTTTCATGAATTTATGATAGTCTTTCACTTAACATTTGTTCATAATTTGCTTGGAATAGGTCGAAAAAGTGAAAAGATTTTAATTTTTTATTATGCAAAAGTATGTAATTATAAAAGAGCTTGGAAGTGGTTCTTATGGCAAAGTTTATCTGGCAAAGATTAAGAAAAGTGGAGAACAAGTCGCTCTGAAAGAAATAGAGATGTCTTTACTTGATGAACAAGCAAAATCAAAAGCATTTGAAGAAGTACAGTTCTTATCTTCATTACAACACCCAAATATCGTTGCCCACAGAGAATCATTCCAAGATAATGGTAAGTTTTACATCGCAATGGAGTATGTTGATGGTGGAGATTTAAGTGACAAGATATCGAACAGAAAAACACCATTTACAGAAGACGAAGTACTCAAGATATTCATACAAATATGTTTTGCATTAAAATATATTCACGAAAAGAAAGTTGTCCATAGAGATATTAAACCACAAAATGTTTTTCTTACTCATTTAGGAATTGTTAAACTAGGTGACTTTGGAGTTGCTAGAGCACTTGAAGGTACTCAAGATATGTGCAAAACTGTTATTGGCACTCCTTATTACTTATCTCCTGAAGTATGGTCAAATCAGCCATACAGTACAAAAACAGATATCTGGTCGTTGGGATGCATACTTTACGAACTTTGTACGTTAAATAGACCATTCAATGGCAGATCTCCTCAACAATTGTTTGCAGCAATAATAAGAGGCCATTACAACAAAGTTTCTACGAAATATTCAGCTGCCATACGTAAGCTTATTGACTCAATGCTGAATCCAGATGCAAACGCTCGTCCTACAGCTGCAGATATTTTACAACTACCATTCATACAAGCTAAGTCAAAGAAAATGGTTGAAGAAAATCAGGATCAGCTTAAGAATGTTAATATCATCGCAAGAAAAGATAAATCCCCTAAAAGACATCAATCTCCTCAAAGAAAGAAAACAGTCAATCTTAAACCAGTTCCAGAAACACCAGATAACGATCCTCTACCTCTTCCAGACGAAGAACCTCCTAGATGGGCTCAACGTGGACCTGCTTTGCAAAAATCAGATCCAATCATCGTGGAAGAAGAAGATCAGCCAGAACCAAACGAATGGGATGATCTTAAAACATTTACAGAGCAGTTGCGCGATTCAATTTCAAATTCTACGACTTATGTCGCTGATGCTTCTTTACCTCACGATAAACAAAGCGCACAAGCAGAAATTGATTCAATCATGGCTTCTCTGTCATCTATTCAGCCAATGCTGATATCAATGCTTGAAGATAACATAATAAACGAAGATCAAGAATCTTGTCAAGAATTTATTGAAATATTTGCACAGAGCGATCCTCAGACAGTTGAGAAAATGCGTAGAGTTGTTAAGATCAAAAAGATGTTTGATTTATAGTATATTAAATTGTTATTTTTATGTTTTAACTAATTATTTTTTGAGAAACACATACACTTATTAAGTTTAATAGATTTTTATATATTGTGCCTGTTCCGAACTCGTAATTACTGTTGAATAGACAAGTTTTGTGTACAAATTTAGAGATGTATCCAAAAAAATCCTATCGTCCTGCCTACATCGCCAAAAGTGAGCTTTTTTTCAGTTTGATCGGACAAAACTTCAAATTTCGACCTGAAACAAGCGCCGAAAATTCGAGAAAAATTATTAAAAGATGTCTATCGTCTCAGACCATAAAGTTAGATTTGATGCGAAATTGCATAAGAAAGATTTCAAACAAAATTCATTATTCGGGATGAGATAGTTTGGAACATGAAAATTTAGTTTGTATTCTATGTTAATAGACTAATGTATTTGAAATCTGAGAGATTTGTTAGATGCACAAAATATGAGAATCAAAATATGAGTTAATGATTATTTAGATGGGTGAGTAATGATATATATTGTGTGGTAATATAATATATGTGTGAAATAAACAAGCTTATGCAAGAGATTTTCAAATTACAATTTGATTGAAGTTTTTGTTCCTCATCTGGTGTACTTTTGGAGATATTGTAATCCAGATGAGGAACAAAGACTTTAATAGCTGCTTGATATAGTTTTCAAAGACTTACTTCTTCAATCAGAAGTTGATTGAGGTCTTTGTTCCTCATCTGAGGTACTTGTTGAGGTATTGTACCTCAGATGAGGAACAAAGACATGAAAGATTGTTACAAGCAATCTTTCATGTCTTTTGGCAACAATCAACATCTGATTGTTGACTTTGTTCCTCATCTGAGGTCAATACAATGAGATTGTACTTCATATGAGGAACAAAGACTTAAAATCATATTTATCTGCATTTTTTACCTTAAATATAAAAATTGAATATTTAATTTAGCTAATCATCTAGATCTTATTATAAATTCCAATATCCAAACAATAATAATATCCTTCTATAGATTTAGATCCTCGAAATTAGTTTTGATTTTGCAAAAAATCGAAATATCTAAAAAAACAAGTAAAAAAATAGTTTAATATAAAAATTAAAATTTTATAATATTTGATTCAATAATGATCATTTAAGGGTTTTGAGGAGTCTATGTTCCTCATCTGAGGTACAATACCTCAACAAGTACCTCAGATGAGGAACAAAGTCAACAATCAGATGTTGATTGTTGCCAAAAGACATGAAAGATTGCTTGTAACAATCTTTCATGTCTTTGTTCCTCATCTGAGGTACAATACCTCAACAAGTACCTCAGATGAGGAACAAAGTCAACAATCAGATGTTCATTGAAGTTTAAAGTCTTCGAAGGCTCGCATAAGAAGTCTTTGGATTCTTAGTTCCTCATCTGAGGTACAATACCTTTGCATGTACCTCATATGAGCAACAAAGTCAACAATCAGATGTTGATTGTTGCCAAAAGACATGAAAGATTGCTTGTAACAATCTTTCATGTCTTTGTTCCTCATCTGAGGTACAATACCTCAACAAGTACCTCAGATGAGGAACAAAGTCAACAATCAGATGTTCATTGAAGTTTAAAGTCTTCGAAGGCTCGCATAAGAAGTCTTTGGATTCTTAGTTCCTCATCTGAGGTACAATACCTTTGCATGTACCTCATATGAGCAACAAAGACTGCAATCAACATCTGATTGAAGAACAAAGACTTAAAAGACCTTTCTTAAGAGTCTTTTAAGTCTCAGTTCCCCATCCGTGGTCCACCAACACAACCAATACCCCAGATGTAGTACATTTGAAATAATCTTAATCTGATCATCCTCAAACAAATAAATTCCACTCATCAAACATAATATGCTAATAATATGACACTTTTACATATGTGTTTAGTGTTAAAAACTTAAAATTTTGTTACATTTTTCATATTTCATGACTCTTATAGGATAACATATATATATCACAGCATGATATTATTATAGATCACATATATAATTAAATTATGTTATATATACATGTTTAAACTAGAGTTTGGGCATCGTGAATCTTATGTGATTCTTGAGAAATATCAATGACCGACAAGACTCTTTGCCACAGATATCGCTAGGATATTCTCAATCATTCTATGTACAAATCACATAGTTTAGACGGATTCTCCAAAATTATATCTTCAATCAGAATCCATATCCTGCACAAGCGCATGAGATGCACCTCCAGGATGAGTTAGAATTTTTGATGAATTTTATTCATTGCTAAACTCATTATTTAAAAAAACTCAATGTAAACCATTCAATTTTTGGAGATGTAGGCAAGATGATAGCATTTTTTGGGATTAGTGTCTACAAATTTATTTCATTTTTATTTCAATTAAAATCATTAATAAATTTGAATCCCTTTTAGGATAAAAATAAAATAAAATAAAATAAAATAATAATAATAATAATAATACCCTATATTTCCAACTCTTGGAAAATTTTCATGACCCCCTACCCAGGGTCCTAAAATGGGTATTTTCCTCACACAGACACCGTGGTTTTTTGAGCCGGGAAATAAATAGCGCAGACAGTTTCTACATATAGAGACATGCTTATACTTAGAGTTTGACGGGAATCTAAAGTGATTTTTTTTCTGCATCGCGAAATCTAATGCAATCTCAAAATCATGAAGAAACTGCGAATCGGAGCGCAATTTTTTAATATGTTAATATATAAAGGTACCCCTACTACTGCAAATGCTTCAAATGAAAATCTAAGAAATCAGATTAATTTGATCACATTAGTATAGTATTGGTCAAACCAAAAACTCATATGTTGATATATAGCCTATAGATATTCATATTATCTACTTTTCATTGAATTACATAAGATTTAATAATCTCATAAATATTCTTTTTAATTTTCCGAATTCCGTGTGCATTTAGATTGCCTATACCTGTATATAATAATTCTAGAATGGTTTGGTTAGATATTAAGTTTTTTAGATTAATATTTTAACATTTTGATAAAACATGCATTTGTTCCATTTTAGAATCGCCATTGAACTCTAGTTTGACTAACATGATGTTGTATGATCAAATAAATTCTAACTTCATGAGATAAATTTTGAAATTAGAAAATGCGATATCTGACTCAAATATTTATCTGAACACATTTAACATTCAATGATAAACTAAAGTACTATACAGCAGATTCGATTTGGCTTATATTTTATATAATCAACAAATAATCCTATAAAATTGTGCTATTCACGTTGCTCAAAGATGTATTGAACATTCCCTACTTGTGTATTGATAAAATTAGATATAGATTCTAATGTAAATCGATATTTTGAAAATTCATATATATTTTGTCTTGGTTTGGCATTTGATCGTGTTGAAACCGGAATTGCAATATATATCATCTAAATATATAACTATCAAAATATGAGCTATAGATTTTTAAATTATTCTCCTGAATATGAGTGACTAACATAATTATATTGAATTGAGTAGTAAGAATCATAAATATTAGAATCTGACGATAATTTATTATAACTTTATATAGGAACAAGATTATAAATGATGATGAAAATAAAGATTAAATTTAAATCTGAAAATTTGAAAACATTAAGTGTATATGATAGCATTACAAAATTAAATTTTATGTGGAAGAGGAAATAGAGGAATTAGAAGTATTATGAGAAAATAATACGATATAAAAACAAGATTCTATTAAATGAGTTAATTTATAGAAAGGAATAACAGTGTGAATGTAGTAAATGAATGTTTTCATGATGTATTATTGAAATCTTAAGTTTTGTTAAGAAGATAATAAGGGAATCAAATTTTGTATTAGGAAGTTTGACCGACAAGAGTGTATTGTGCACTCTTGTCGGTCTGCATGTCTCATTCCGGGAGACATTGTCACTGCATGTCTCCCAGAATGAGACAATCTTCCGCGTTCATAACTTGAATGCGGAAGTTTGACCGACAAGAGTGTATTGTGCACTCTTGTCGGTCTGCATGTCTCATTCCGGGAGACATTGTCACTGCATGTCTCCCAGAATGAGACAATCTTCCGCGTTCATAACTTGAATGCGGAAGTTTGACCGACAAGAGTGTATTGTGCACTCTTGTCGGTCTGCATGTCTCATTCCGGGAGACATTGTCACTGCATGTCTCCCAGAATGAGACAATCTTCCGCGTTCATAACTTGAATGCGGAAGTTTGACCGACAAGAGTGTATTGTGCACTCTTGTCGGTCTGCATGTCTCATTCCGGGAGACATTGTCACTGCATGTCTCCCAGAATGAGACAATCTTCCGCGTTCATAACTTGAATGCGGAAGTTTGACCGACAAGAGTGTATTGTGCACTCTTGTCGGTCTGCATGTCTCATTCCGGGAGACATTGTCACTGCATGTCTCCCAGAATGAGACAATCTTCCGCGTTCATAACTTGAATGCGGAAGTTTGACCGACAAGAGTGTATTGTGCACTCTTGTCGGTCTGCATGTCTCATTCCGGGAGACATTGTCACTGCATGTCTCCCAGAATGAGACAATCTTCCGCGTTCATAACTTGAATGCGGAAGTTTGACCGACAAGAGTGTATTGTGCACTCTTGTCGGTCTGCATGTCTCATTCCGGGAGACATTGTCACTGCATGTCTCCCAGAATGAGACAATCTTCCGCGTTCATAACTTGAATGCGGAAGTTTGACCGACAAGAGTGTATTGTGCACTCTTGTCGGTCTGCATGTCTCATTCCGGGAGACATTGTCACTGCATGTCTCCCAGAATGAGACAATCTTCCGCGTTCATAACTTGAATGCGGAAGTTTGACCGACAAGAGTGCACAATACACTCTTGTCGATCTAAATGTATCTTACAATCAAAGACACTTTCATACAATCTTTTCGAAGTTAAAAAAAAAATTTAATTATTTCTTTCTTTTGTTTATTAAATCGCCTTACTCACGTACTAATCTCTTTTAGAGACTCTATCGAGCTATCCCCACATATAAACCCGTGACAATAATACATATTTACTCTCTTCATATTCTGATCTCATGACACATTATCGCAAAAACTATAATTATACAACACATCTCATAAAGTCTCATTTTAGCCCTATCTAAGCGTTCAAAACATATTTTCCACACGTAATCTGATTCTTCTGGCTCCGCTGATTCGATTTCTGCTGTCAGATCGTGAAAATATGCATCACATAAAGAGATAAATGCAAATTGCACAACTTAATATTTTCCTTAAAATTTCTCTTCAGGTTCATACCTAAATAAGCTCTTTTTTTGAAAATTCAATTTTTTCCAAAAATGTATGAATTCAAAAGTTCAGATTATATCTAGTCATTTTCCAACATTAATTTTGTGTTTTAGTTTTTGAGATATTCATTTTATTATACGTATTATTCAGAAAATTAAAAGAATTTGTGAGGGGAAACGGAGGAGATAATAAATATGTAAAGATGGATGAATAGACAATTTGAAAAAAAAGCAATAATTTTGAGTTGTGTTTATCTCTTTATGTGATGCATATTTTCACGATCTGACAGCAGAAATCGAATCAGCGGAGCCAGAAGAATCAGATTACGTGTGGAAAATATGTTTTGAACGCTTAGATAGGGCTAAAATGAGACTTTATGAGATGTGTTGTATAATTATAGTTTTTGCGATAATGTGTCATGAGATCAGAATATGAAGAGAGTAAATATGTATTATTGTCACGGGTTTATATGTGGGGATAGCTCGATAGAGTCTCTAAAAGAGATTAGTACGTGAGTAAGGCGATTTAATAAACAAAAGAAAGAAATAATTAAATTTTTTTTTTAACTTCGAAAAGATTGTATGAAAGTGTCTTTGATTGTAAGATACATTTAGATCGACAAGAGTGTATTGTGCACTCTTGTCGGTCAAACTTCCGCATTCAAGTTATGAACGCGGAAGATTGTCTCATTCTGGGAGACATGCAGTGACAATGTCTCCCGGAATGAGACATGCAGACCGACAAGAGTGCACAATACACTCTTGTCGGTCAAACTTCCGCATTCAAGTTATGAACGCGGAAGATTGTCTCATTCTGGGAGACATGCAGTGACAATGTCTCCCGGAATGAGACATGCAGACCGACAAGAGTGCACAATACACTCTTGTCGGTCAAACTTCCGCATTCAAGTTATGAACGCGGAAGATTGTCTCATTCTGGGAGACATGCAGTGACAATGTCTCCCGGAATGAGACATGCAGACCGACAAGAGTGCACAATACACTCTTGTCGGTCAAACTTCCGCATTCAAGTTATGAACGCGGAAGATTGTCTCATTCTGGGAGACATGCAGTGACAATGTCTCCCGGAATGAGACATGCAGACCGACAAGAGTGCACAATACACTCTTGTCGGTCAAACTTCCGCATTCAAGTTATGAACGCGGAAGATTGTCTCATTCTGGGAGACATGCAGTGACAATGTCTCCCGGAATGAGACATGCAGACCGACAAGAGTGCACAATACACTCTTGTCGGTCAAACTTCCGCATTCAAGTTATGAACGCGGAAGATTGTCTCATTCTGGGAGACATGCAGTGACAATGTCTCCCGGAATGAGACATGCAGACCGACAAGAGTGCACAATACACTCTTGTCGGTCAAACTTCCGCATTCAAGTTATGAACGCGGAAGATTGTCTCATTCTGGGAGACATGCAGTGACAATGTCTCCCGGAATGAGACATGCAGACCGACAAGAGTGCACAATACACTCTTGTCGGTCAAACTTCCGCATTCAAGTTATGAACGCGGAAGATTGTCTCATTCTGGGAGACATGCAGTGACAATGTCTCCCGGAATGAGACATGCAGACCGACAAGAGTGCACAATACACTCTTGTCGGTCAAACTTCCGCATTCAAGTTATGAACGCGGAAGATTGTCTCATTCTGGGAGACATGCAGTGACAATGTCTCCCGGAATGAGACATGCAGACCGACAAGAGTGCACAATACACTCTTGTCGGTCAAACTTCCGCATTCAAGTTATGAACGCGGAAGATTGTCTCATTCTGGGAGACATGCAGTGACAATGTCTCCCGGAATGAGACATGCAGACCGACAAGAGTGCACAATACACTCTTGTCGGTCAAACTTCCGCATTCAAGTTATGAACGCGGAAGATTGTCTCATTCTGGGAGACATGCAGTGACAATGTCTCCCGGAATGAGACATGCAGACCGACAAGAGTGCACAATACACTCTTGTCGGTCAAACTTCCGCATTCAAGTTATGAACGCGGAAGATTGTCTCATTCTGGGAGACATGCAGTGACAATGTCTCCCGGAATGAGACATGCAGACCGACAAGAGTGCACAATACACTCTTGTCGGTCAAACTTCCGCATTCAAGTTATGAACGCGGAAGATTGTCTCATTCTGGGAGACATGCAGTGACAATGTCTCCCGGAATGAGACATGCAGACCGACAAGAGTGCACAATACACTCTTGTCGGTCAAACTTCCGCATTCAAGTTATGCGCGGATTGTCTCATTCTGGGAGACATGCAGTGACAATGTCTCCCGGAATGAGACATGCAGACCGACAAGAGTGCACAATACACTCTTGTCGGTCAAACTTCCTAATACAAAATTTGATTCCCTTATTATCTTCTTAACAAAACTTAAGATTTCAATAATACATCATGAAAACATTCATTTACTACATTCACACTGTTATTCCTTTCTATAAATTAACTCATTTAATAGAATCTTGTTTTTATATATTATTATTTTCTCATAATACTTCTAATTCCTCTATTTCCTCTTCCACATAAAATTTAATTTTGTAATGCTATCATATACACTTAATGTTTTCAAATTTTCAGATTTAAATTTAATCTTTATTTTCATCATCATTTATAATCTTGTTCCTATATAAAGTTATAATAAATTATCGTCAGATTCTAATATTTATGATTCTTACTACTCAATTCAATATAATTATGTTAGTCACTCATATTCAGGAGAATAATTTAAAAATCTATAGCTCATATTTTGATAGTTATATATTTAGATGATATATATTGCAATTCCGGTTTCAACACGATCAAATGCCAAACCAAGACAAAATATATATGAATTTTCAAAATATCGATTTACATTAGAATCTATATCTAATTTTATCAATACACAAGTAGGGAATGTTCAATACATCTTTGAGCAACGTGAATAGCACAATTTTATAGGATTATTTGTTGATTATATAAAATATAAGCCAAATCGAATCTGCTGTATAGTACTTTAGTTTATCATTGAATGTTAAATGTGTTCAGATAAATATTTGAGTCAGATATCGCATTTTCTAATTTCAAAATTTATCTCATGAAGTTAGAATTTATTTGATCATACAACATCATGTTAGTCAAACCAGAGTTCAATGGCGATTCTAAAATGGAACAAATGCTGTTTTATCAAAATGTTAAAATATTAATCTAAAAAACTTAATATCTAACCAAACCATTCTAGAATTATTATATACAGGTATAGGCAATCTAAATGCACACGGAATTCGGAAAATTAAAAAGAATATTTATGAGATTATTAAATCTTATGTAATTCAATGAAAAGTAGATAATATGAATATCTATAGGCTATATATCAACATATGAGTTTTTGGTTTGACCAATACTATACTAATGTGATCAAATTAATCTGATTTCTTAGATTTTCATTTGAAGCATTTGCAGTAGTAGGGGTACCTTTATATATTAACATATTAAAAAATTGCGCTCCGATTCGCAGTTTCTTCATGATTTTGAGATTGCATTAGATTTCGCGATGCAGAAAAAAATCACTTTAGATTCCCGTCAAACTCTAAGTATAAGCATGTCTCTATATGTAGAAACTGTCTGCGCTATTTATTTCCCGGCTCAAAAAACCACGGTGTCTGTGTGAGGAAAATACCCATTTTAGGACCCTGGGTATCAAATGAAAAAGAATACAATATAATTATGATTGATATTAAATGAAAGATAATTTGATATAATTATGATTGATATTAAATGAAAAGAAATTCTATATAATATTGATTGATATGAAATGAGATGAAGTAAATTTAATATTGACATTAGCACCATGTTCAACTAAGAACTTGATAATATCGATTGATTTTCGATAAACAGCAATTGAAAGTGGACATTCGTTATTTCATATCATATTTCATAAAATCTTGACTGATATTAAATGAAAAAGAATACTATATAATAATGATTGATATAAAATGAAAGAGAATTCTATATATTAATGATTAATATGGAATGAAAGAGGATTCCATAAAATAATGATTAATAGGAAATCAAAAAGAATACTATATAATAATGATGGATATAAAATGAAAGAGAATTATATATATTAATGAGTGATCTGAAATTAAGTGATGTAAGTTTAACATTGATATCAGCACCATGTTCAACTAAAAGCTTGATGATATCGATTGAGTTTTGATAAATAGCAATTGAAAGTGGACATTCGTATTTTCAAAATATATTTCATATAATGATGATTGATATAAAATGAAATATAATATAAAATAATGACTGATATGAAATGAAAGAGAGGTCTATATAATAAAGACTGATATGAAATGAAACAGAATAGATTTTGCATTGACATCGGCACCATGTGAAATAAGAATTCTTGCTGCATCTATATTTTTATACATTGTGGCGTAATGAAGAGCAGTCATTTCATATGTATCATGATAATCGACATCAATTTTATTAGTTGAATCAAATAAAAATTTTAAAACATCGGAATTTTGTGACATGCAAGCATAATGTATCATATTTCGTTTCCTACGATCAATTTTATTTGTAAGTTTTTCATTTTTGAGAATATCTATTGTTTGAGGAAAAGCAGCACACCATGGAACAATGAAGCTTTTTTCTCGCTCGAAAAGTATGAAAACAGCTTTCAAATTTTGGTATTTGATAATATCGTCGATAATAAACTCATATTCATGGGGATCTTCAGAAGTAAATAGATCTCTATCTAAAACGAATTCAAACATTTCATTGTTGTGTGAACTTACAATATCCATGAGACAATCTACATCTATTTGATTGTACTTTAGACATTCGTTGATAATGTCTCTATTTCTACCGATTAATGAACATCGAAGACATTTTTCTGATAATGTAAAATTATGATTCGAAATTAAGAAGTTGAAAATATTTACAGATCCAAAATATGCACATGCTTCAATTAATGATAAATTGAAACTCTCCTTTCTTTCCAATGAAGGAATTTCTAAAAAAATATCACTGTTGAATTCTTTTGGAGTGATATACTCCTTAAATATATCGATTTTATCATGCACAACAGCAAAAATGAAGGGACTCATCGATGGAAATGATAAATTAGAAAGTTCCTTAATTTCATAACTGAGATTCTTGGATATTTCTTTATAATTCTCCAAAGAAGCATAATTGTATTGAATTGCTTTTAAAATTATCAGCGAGAGTTGGCTTTCTGTAAGTTGATACTTCGAAATCAGAACATTTTTGATGATATTGCACATATCTTCAACAGATTCGTTAGATTTTATTAGAAAAAGCTTGTCAAATGCTCCTATAAAGTCCAAATATGGCTTTGCATAGTCAGAACTCATGATTTTTTTATGGCAGACAAAAAAAAATTAATAATCTACAAGTTTCATTTTTCAAAGTTTTGGGTTTTTATAGATTCTATTTTGAGATTCTTTTCTCTTTGGTAAACAGTAAACTTCAGAAATTTGAATGTAGTCACAACTCATAATGTTTGTCCAAAAATTTTCTTTGTGTCATGGAAATATTAAAAAAATTATAAATAACATACAAAAGATTGAAAATTTGACATTAACACTCTCAAATTTGAGAACTTTGCTTGTGGTAAAGTGTTTACAAATGTAAACAAATTATAAATGTAAAGTTTATTATTTAAGAAATTGGCAAAATTCACAGGCACTTCCACCAATGTCCGCTCAAAATTGAGAGCGCTTCAAACGGTAGATGCCATTTTAATGAATTTACGCTTTTTAGAGAGACATATACACCAAATGTGACAGCACATTTGCTTATCAATGAATTACTGTTCTATAAAATAAGTCTGTATGTATGAAAATTAATTTTTAAAAGTACATATAAAAGAGGCCTGGGGAGGACTTTGTCTTAAGGAACCCTTGCTATTGCTTCCTAGTTCCCAAAGCAAAAATATGCATTAATGTAATTTGTATGTGATTATTAGCCCACAGAGAGATAAGTAAATTGCTTGTATTTCGATTATTGTGAAGTTCCGGGTGTCATCTCAATTGGTTGTTAAGCACATTGTCTGACTCATTGTCTATCATAAGCACATTATTGTCTGACTAATTGTCTATCAGATCCCACAAAAACTCCCAAAATTCCGAATATATGCCTAAAGAGTTACAGACACAAGTATTTCATTTGATTGTTGATTGTTCGACGATCCAAATGTACAACTTGTTTAGGAAAAATCTTCAAATATTTCGAACAATGTCACAGAATGATGTATGATAAGTATATTCTACAGAGAACTAACATGTGTTCAATGGATTTCGCTATCAATACTTATTTATAATATTATAATAGATTTTAATTGAAATATTTAATTTTTATATGAACTTTCCCAGAATTTAAAATTATGAAAAGCTAATTGTATTAATAGGGATTGATAACATATAAAGTTTATTACTTTTTCGAATACTTTTACCTGCAAGTGCAAATTCAGCTTTACAACTTCCAAGTGTAAAATGAATCAATTTGTTCGTAAAAAAAGTTCTTGCATGATTGGTAGCATAAGAACCTCTAAATGTATATGAAATAGAATTTTCAAAGAAACTATTGTTAACCATAAAATTATCCCATTTTAAGTATATTAAGCAACAACCTCGAGGAGCTGTATTATTGATAAAGGAAGATCTTTCCACAACAAAATCAACACCCATGTGGAAGATAATTCCAAAATTTGAATTAGAAATCATATTATTAATAATATTACATGAATCAATCATTGCCTTATTTCTAAGTTCTAAAATCGCAACATTTGCTCCTATTGCACTATGATTTGCAACTGTAGAAAAATTAAATTTCATAAAACCGCCATAAAGACTATTAAAATTACTAACATCGGCATTATTCGCTTTGCATAACGAGAAATTTGTTAACGAAACTAGGATATTCGGACCACCTAATGTTAATGAAGAATTGCCTGATTCATCATTTCCAATATCAAAAATGGAATCTTGAACAATATAATTAAAACTACCATAGTTGTTCCCTGTCATACAAAATTGCCCCGGCTTTTCACTTTGGCAATGGCTACCGCAAAATTTTCGCTGAACAATCGAACTGTTTGCACTAACAAAATAAACGCAGCCCCCAGAATCAGATGAGCTGCAATTACAGAATGAGCAACGGTTGTGTAAGAATGAAGAGTTATAATTTTCACGAAAATAAATTGCATGATCATTAAGTTCAAAAAAATTACAATCTTCTAAAAAATATTGGGTTTTCCCAACTTCTAACTGACAATTCTCGCAGTATTTAGTCTTCTGCTCTGTAAATTGGCTCGAATAGTAGTAATCCCATATATTGTCACTCTTGAAAAATGGCTTTCCCCGAATTCATATAGAAAAACAAAAATAAGGTTTAAAAATTGAGATCATTCAGACACTAAACCACAAAAAAATTGAGAAGACAATAGATTAAGATATCAACAATAAAATACTGACCTGACCTTCCCGATCATTATTGAGTAAAAAATTTAGTGTGGTTTCACCCCCTACATTTTCCTAAATCTCAGATTAAGCTTCTGATGATCGATTTTTTATTAAGGTCCACGGTACATTTTCAATACTATTCAAAAATTGAATGCTAAAATGAGAATTATCGTTATCGTCTTCAACTTGAATCGATTTTTTTGGAGCTTCTTGGTTAACGAAATTCAAAAATTATATTAAAAATAGTATACAAATATGATATCAAATCAGAATCTATAAATAGATATGGGCTTTTCCATATAAATTTTGAACATTAACGATAGCCTTCACTTGGCCGGACCGTGGACCCTTAAAAAAAATTCAGAAATTTACAGAAATCTTTATTAAATAGCTTTATTCAAATACACTCTTTGGCGAAGTAGAGAGTACACTCAGTTCGCTCATATTCATATCAGGTATGAAACTGTCAGGAATAAGCGGAACTGACGCCAAATAATCCGAAGCAAATTTCTCCGGGATTTGCAAGAAGAATTTGTCCTCAGACACTTCCTTCAGCTGGTATGAGTTATGTGCCCTCATATTTGTAAATCTTTCGTTGAACTCTCTACAATTGGGACATTTTTGCAGGCCAGTCTGATAAAACTTACCTGCATTTGCCATATCCTGCCTCAGCTCGTAGATTAAACCTATATTGAGCCACGGTTCAGGGATATCGCATCTTATATATAATGCGCGTTGAAAAGTAGACAGCGCGTCGTTTATCTGTTGGTTCTTGAAGTATAAATTGCCAAGCGATATCCAGAAATAAGGGGAATCGCTGCAATATTCTATACAATTTTTGTATTTTTCGTAAGCTTGCTTTGAATCACCCATCTTTAGGCTGACACGAGCATCTATAAGCACCAAACTAGGATCAAATCCGAATCTTTGGAGTGCATCATTTAATTCGAGTTGTAGTTCTTGTAGCATAGTGCCGTTCGAAAGGATGAGTCTTGTAATGAAGTATTGGCGAGTTGCGTCGATATTATTTGGGTGTTGCTGATAAAGTGACTGATAAATTTGAAGACTTTGTTCTGGCTGTCCTTGAAGGCTTAAATTGTATGCAATCTGTAACTGCATATCGCCCTCAGACATTCCATGAGGAAGATTCTCCTTCAAAGACATAAGTATTTCATTTGATTGTTGATATTGTTCGACCAACCTATAAAGTAAGGCCAATCTAAAGCAAATATCGTTTCTAATCTGTATATTCGGTGTAAGCTGTAATATATTTTTTAGATATGGTATTGCAAATTCTGTATATCGAAAATGGGCATAAACTATGCCAGCAAGGTATGAAAAATTAACATCTGGAGTCTCTATAAACTTAACTATATGCGAACAGGCCGCAAACGCATTCGGAAAGTCACCAAGAGCTAAATAACAATAACCAAGTGACATCCAAATAGTCGTTTTTTCTGTTTCTTTCTGTAATAGCTTGCCGTAGTCTTCTATCACCTTCCTAATTCGTTCTACAATGATTTTATAATCAGGAAATATAGCTAAGACTTGAGGATTGTTCGGATTATAACTAATTGCACGCTTTGTTGCCAGTGAAGCATCATCTATATAGCCGAGATCCTTGGCAACACTAGCTGCAACTGAAAATGAATCCTCGAAACTCAGGTTTACTTTCTCTAAGTAATACCTTGAGGTCGGGTTGTGCATTGCTGGGCAAAAATTTATATCACATGTCTGGGCCCTTCAGAAAAAATTAGTGACCATCAAAAATATATTCAGCTTTATACGAAATATTCATGTATTTTGGAAACTATTCAAAAGTCGCCTGAATCAAAGTCCGAAATTAATTAATCTTCTGAACCGGGGAAAATGCTAAAAGTTATGTTTTAATTGCTCAGATAAACTAATCATACAGTTTCCATGTTGGTTCACATTTCCAATTTTAATTCTAGTAAATATTATGCCATTTTTGGCAATTGTTCCCGTAAAAAAAGAGAATTTCCATAGATAACTGCATTCAAATAATTCAACTCGAACATAAGACGATATTTATGAAAATAGTTTTAATTCATTTGTACCCTGTCTTGAAAATCTTTCACATTTTGTGCTTAAATTGTAAACGCCTTCCAGTTAAAGCTATGACGTAGAGATACACTCTACACAGCAGAAAATGCATATTAAATTCTGCAAACACGACGGAAACAAGATCGAAGAATTCCAGGAGAAGAAAAATGAATTCTTTATGCAAAAAGATTTTATTTAGAGCTATTATATGCAATAAGAAGTATTATCCATGATTTTTGAATAAACCATCCAAAAAATTGACAACTTACATTTTTTATAAAACTTACTGCTTTTGTATTATTATTAATAATTTTCATATTTTTGAATTTTCTGCCACGAAAAAATAAAAATAAAAAAATGATGAAATCAAGAACAGACCTTATTTCTAAACTCAATAACTATGGTAATCTTATAGAAAACGGAAACTATAAAGAAGCAGATGCAGAATCTGAATCTTTATTAGATTACATCATGGGATATCATTTTTACACTTTATTAGGAAAATATTTCAAATTAAAATCAAAAATCGATGAAAATGCAAACCAATCCGATAAAATTTTATTAGACTATTTAATTTTATTATCTAAAAGAGTTAATTTATCAAATGCAAGCGATTTTGCAAATAAACTTACTTTACTTTTAACTTCAGATCAACAAATTTCATTAAAAATACCTACAAGATTAAGTGGAATAGTACCAATTGATATAAAATTGAATTATCATCAAGATGATATTTACTCGGGTTCAAATGCCTTTCTTTACATAAATATATGGTCGGATTTGCCATATGATTTAACATGCTGCAAATTAGAAATCGAATTTACTCATAATAGAGGCCCTGCAACGTCATTAGTTATAAATAACATTGACATTTTATCAAAGCAGCTAAACAAGCAAGTTGCAACAAGTATCATCCCACATAGAGTTTCATCTCAAAAAGTTTCGAAAATTCTATTAACAATTGAAGGAAAAACAATCGAATTTGAAATACAACGCCAAGTTTCGATCAAAGTACTTCCAGATCCTAATGCTTGCAAGATAGAAGTCCAAAAGCCAAACAGATCTTTAATTGGAGTTCAAATTCCAGTGAATATTACTTTCAAAGCTCCATATACAGAACTTATTGACATACAGCCAACATTTCAATGCACAAACAACTTTCCTCCAATCATTGAAGGCGATTTCCTTCCATTTAACATGAAGGTTGGAGAATCTGTAACAAAACTCTTTTATTTTGAGTCAAATACACCAGTATTTACAACAGTTGTAATGAATGTTGTATTCCAAACCGAAATTTCCGGCGAAACAAAGATAAAACACGTAATTAATTTTGATTTTATCAGTCCTTTCATTGTCAAACCATTTTTGTTCGATTCCAACTATCAGGAACAAAGAAATCCGAAATTATCAAACGATACAACCTATCTTTTGGAGACTTCTCTGCTTAATGATCTTCAAGATAATATTTTAATCGAAAAGATCGAAGATTGCCAAGCAACTGACCTCCCATGCCTACTAGAACCAGGTGAGCGATATACATTTACAGTTATTCAAAAGCCAGGACCGGCAAACAGAAAAATTCATTTTGTATCAAAAGATGAAAAGATTGTCTTCTTTTTGAAGATGCAACCATTTGCAGAACTCGTTCGCAAGACACATTACAACTTCAAATCTCCAACAGAAGCAATAATTAACACAAAATTTAATTGTGTTATAGAAATCGACAAAACGCAGGACACAGAAAAAGCCTGCGGTATAATTCATATAATTGTCGATAAAAGCTCTCAATTTGCTGAAATTGGACCTTCTGAAGTAAATACTGTTGTTTGGTCATCAAAAGTGACTCAAATTCCAATCACATTCATTCCTATGGTAGCTGGATCATATATCTTACCTAAGATAACAATAATTGACGAAACTTCCGTTCCACAAGAGTTTATTAGGTCAATCATCGTCAATTACCAATGAAATATAATGCGTTTATTATGATTTTGTTTATTTTATCTTACTAAATCTGTTTAATTCGAATTAGACAAATTTTTCATCCAATAATTTTTTGAATATTTTTATAAATTTAAATTAAGATAAAAATAACTTTGCTTCTTTTCTCTTTGCTTATCATAAGCAAATTTCTATATTTAACTATCCTCAATTTCTTACTTGTAAAATTTCAAGAATTATTTTCACTATTTATCGGTCGGAAATAGACAGAATGCATTTCATAATGGGTTTAATTCTATTTTCTATTCTACTTCTGTTTCATATAATCTTCAGAACGGAATTTTTTGCAACAAAATTTTTATTCAACATGAATATAAAACGATCCAATATGGAGTATGCATGTGCCAAAGCGTTTTAATCTTAACATTTATTTAGTATAATAGTATTAAATCGACTTATATGAATCTGGAACCTAAAAGCTATCTTTTATAATAGAGAAATGAAGCATGAAATAAGTCAATCTTTTTTGATGATGTTCAAAAAGTGACAAATATGGTAAAAATCGGAATTGTTCAACTTAGCAGTGGCGATGACAAGGCTGCAAATGTTGCCAGAGCTGCTGAAAAGGTCAAGAAATGCGCCCAGGACGGAGCAGAAATTGTTGTTCTTCCAGAAATTTTCAATGGACCTTATTCCACAGCTAAATTCAGAGAATATTCAGAGCCAGAAGGTGGGGAAACATGGCAAAGGCTATCCAATATGGCAAAAGAGAATAATATCATATTGATAGGTGGATCTATTTCAGAATTTTGCGAAGACAAGATTTACAACACATCATACATATTCGATCAGCAAGGTAAGCAAATAGGAAAGCATAGGAAGATGCATATGTTCGATATTGACGTAAAAGGAGGACAAAGATTCAAAGAATCTGATGCATTAACACCAGGAAACCAAGTTACAGTTGTTGACACATCCATTTGTAAGATTGGCGTATGCATTTGCTTTGATTTCAGATTCCCTGAACTTGCAAGGTTAATGGCACTCAAAGGCGCTAAAATGATCATTGTTCCTGGTGCATTCAACATGACTACTGGCCCAGCACATTGGGAATTACTATTTAGACAACGTGCTGTTGATAATCAAGTCTTTACAATTGGATGTGCACCAGCTAGAAATACAGAAGCTTCTTACGTTTCCTTTGCTAATTCTATAGTTGTTGGACCGTGGGGAGATGTCATTTATAATGCTGGAATTGAAGAAAAAGCAGAAGTCGTTGAAATCGATTTGGAAAAAGTAGATTCAATAAGGCAGCAGCTTCCACTTCTATCTGCTCGTCGCACAGATGTATATGAAATGAAAGAAACAAAATAAGTTTTATTCATATTTTTCATTAATAAATTATTTTTATGTTTGACATTTATTTTACTATCGCCTACATGTATGCATTTCATATACACTAAGAGTAAAGATTTTGCAGATATGAAATTTCAAAATTTTAGAGGCTCAATGGAAAAAGATAAGCACATATTTAGATATTACTTCCCTAAAGGAAAATAGATATCCATTGAGTTTGTGTGGACTAAAATCGCTTCACAGAAATGAGTAAAGGAAATGAGATCAACTTTTACCTGAAATTATTGAATTATTTCTCATTTTTCAAACAAATAATTATTGAGTATAAAGTAAGCTGTCAATATCAACCATTGTTTGGAATGAAATTAAAAATTTTGAATAAAACTTTGATAGATAAAAAAACGTTGTCTAAATTGAATAATTGTAATTTGCAGATTGAAAGATAATTTATAGTATCTATATTAATATTGCTAAATATATATATTTGTTCTCCCTTCTGAATTTTAATTGTTTAAATTATTAATGTTAAATAAATTGTAATAAATTCCTAATGCAAAATATTATTTGCCATCCCTTTTCAAATAAACAATTGAAATGAAAATATTGAAAATACTTTAGATTTAAGTACTTTATCAAATAAACCTTCCTTTTGGAAATAACCTAATTAATAGATTGAATACTTTTGAATATCTCTTAATTTTTTTGTGAAGCATATTTAAATGATAAAATATATTAATCATAGGATATTAACATAAATTTCGAAAATAAAATTCTCAGCATTCCCCTTTTCAATTTTATTGATATCAAATATTTGATGAAAAAATCAAAAGAATACATTGGCCTTTTCTACAATCTATTAACAATCGGAGAGAACAATCTCTCTACAGATATAGAAAAGTTTATTCCTTGCATTAATTCAGAATTTGCAGGCTCAATCCTCAACGAATATTTAAGAAACAACGTCTTTCATACAGCATTAATTTCCGTTAAGCAGCCTGTATATGTTGTTGGTGATCTTCACGGTGATTTATTTGATCTACTTCGTATTTTGAATCGCAATGGTTTACCGCTTCAGACAAATTATCTATTTCTCGGTGATTATATTGATAGAGGACAATATCCTGTGCAGACACTTCTATTGCTGATAGCTCTTCACAATGTTTACCCGACAAATATTTCTTTATTAAGAGGAAATCATGAGATCCCATCAGTTTGCGAGCAATATGGATTCAAAGAGAAAGTTCTTGAATTATTAGGTGATGAAAACCTCATGGAAGCTTTTTACACCGTATTTTCTTACTTACCTTTAGCTGGAATTGTTGACAATAGGTACTTTTGCGTTCATGGTGGTATCTCCAAGAATCTAACAAGTTTATCTAATCTTTTACGTCTTGAAATGCCAATTTTGGAGATAACTCCGTTAGTTGAGGATCTACTTTGGTCTGATCCAGCAAACTCTGAAGAAATGTATTTATCTAGTGCAAGAAATAAAGGCCATCAGTTCGGAGCAGCTGCAACGGAGCGTTTTCTAAATTCAACAAAATTATCTTACATAATACGTGCTCATTCATACATTTCGAACGGTGCAACAATATTTCACTCGGCAAAAGTTATTTCCATATTCTCATCATCCCATTACGTAGAAGGAGGAAATGTTGCAACAATAATTTACCTCGATGGAGTACATGTATTCGAGAAACTATACCCGGCTAATTACTTAAAGGTAGCTGATTCTAGTTTAGTACCTATTAACTTTGAAAAGAAATTGGCCGCAACAACAATACTGAAGCCAATAATTAGGCCAAAGCCCAGGCATATGACACCCAAGTACAGAGCGACTCTTCACATTTAAATGCGTTATTGAATTGATTCCTTATTTATTTAAGGCAACAGACATTTAAATTCATCAATTATATGATTTCAAATGATTGTTCATATATTTTGCCACAAACAATCAATTTAAGACTGATTATCGGATTTTCTATATCCATTGTTTGTATATCGATCATGTTAAATGGGATGGCCAAAAGATAATGTTATAGACCGAAAATAGATTTTTTTCGGTTTTCTCTTCAAATAATTGAAAGAATGATACTATTATAGGTTTATTATATTATATAGCATATAATCATGCTATAGCCGAAAATTATAAGTTTTGAGAAGATTGAATATAACACAAATAAATTTGAATGTAAGTTAAATTGCTTGTTGTTTTTAATAGCTATTTAATGGGAAATCCAATATTGCAAAATTCAAATTGAATGATTGAAAGAACAGAAAAAGTCATTCTTTTCAATTTCGAATATGTTTCATTGTATTTATAATTATATGGTAAATAAGATATTTAAACTTGATTTTTGAAGGAAAATTCACAAAATTGAATAAATTCAAATTATTTTTATTCAAAAATAAACTAGTTATTTGAGTTTAATACTAATTATCTATTCAAACTACGAAGTTTGTAATTTAAAATATTTTGTGAGATCAGATTGAATTAATTCAAGGTTCTTTTCAATTAATATTAATGACCATATTACGCATTTTCGAACATTCTAAACCAAATATATAAAAATGGGAGACGAATGTTAAATTTGCTAGACATGGGGGAGTTGTCTGCAAAGTGCACTTATTTTTATTTACTTCTTTTGACTCGGCTTTCTTCTTCAGTTGTACACAATACTTTGGAGCATATGTCAAATCTTTAAATGGTGCAAGGTTCTGTTTATATAAGTCAGTAGTATATGTGAAAAGTTTTCCATAAGAAATAGGTTCGAAATATTTGCACTCCCACAATGTTTTCATAACATCCCATAACGGTGTTGTTCTATCATAACGAACTACATATTTATCTTCTCTCTTTGTATAAATCTTCATTTGTTTCTCAATGTTCATTCCACCACAAGCTTTGAGAATTTCTATATAGTTGCGAATGAAATATGTTGTCATTGGTAATCTTTCATTTAGCATGTAGTGGTCTTCAACAAGAAGTAAGTCAATAGTTCGAACAGTTTCACATTCTTTTGGTATGTATCTCTTTATTTCATTATGTCTTGAGTCATTGAAGTAACCAATGGTAACATTAAATGCTATACCTGTTGCGTCAGAAATTTCTTGTACTTTACTTTGAGGAAAGTCTCTAACACGAATGACTTCTCTCATGTGGTCAATAGTCTCTCCATCTACTCCAGCCTGAATGCAAGCATAAACGAAACAATTGTCTTCTGTCATAAGTGCTGCAGTTCTTTTGTTCAATTCATTGAAGATTTGGTAGCGCTCAAGATTTATAGGTAATGTGCAAAGATACTTCCAGAACTGACCACTTCTCTTCTTATAAAACTTCTTTTCACCATTATCTTTCCAAAAGCTTTCTATAAGTGCTGGGTTTCCTGTTTGCTTAAGAGCTTCCAAAATGGCTTTCTGGTCATTTGTCAGTGTGCTTTCATCTCTATATGGTCTCTTTTTTGGTTTGCCTTTCTTTACATCTGACATCGTTAAGCCTTCATATTCTGTTAAATCATACATCTTTATTTCGGTAAGATTCTTTATGTTTGTCAAGAAGAAGTCATAGTGCATTTCAACAATACCTGCAGCATTTGCTTCTATCTCTAATATAAAGTTCTCCTTCAAGAGCTGATGTAGTAATGTTCCAATATTATTGAGGTTTAACGTAGAACATTCATACTTTCCACCAAGTTTATAACATACCATCCATCTTTGTTGGGAGTTTATTTTAATCTTCTCTAAGAGTCTCATGAAAACCTTACCGAAATGTTTGTGTAAGTAGTCTCTGTTTGGTTCATCTAAAGCTTCGATGTTAAAGTCAATGAGTCTATTGCCTGACTTCACATTTCTCTTCCTATTCTCTTCATCTTTCTTTAACCATCTCTCACCTTCTTTTGGTTTGTCGTCAATGGAACGAATGACATCGTTAGCTTTGCGAACTTGTTCTATAGCGCTCTTAAACATCTCTCTTCTCTGTTGTTTCAGTGTGTCGTCTCTTCTTCTTGTTTCACCAACGTTTGCATTTGTTATGTCAAACATTTCTCTTCTTACTTCATGAGGTACTGAACGTCTATGATATAAGTCAATAGCAACGTCATTTAAAGGAAATGCTCTTGCATGGACTTCGTCCTCGCCGCGTTGCGGCTTTATGAACTCATGAATCCTATCATAAGTTATTTCACCATTGTAGTCTTTAATGAAGTCAGCGAGTGCTTTTTTGTTTGTTGCGTAATGCTTTGCAACATCTATATTAGCTTCTGTAAGAAGTTGTTTTATTTCCGAGTGTTCTAACTTAGACAACTTCCGATACATCTTTAGTAGGAAATAAAAAAAATATTTTTTTGAAAAAATTAGATTAGATTTTTTTAAGTTATTTTTCAAAATAATTTAATATTTTTATTTTAATGAAACACATGCAAGATTGCAAGTTCTTTTCATACAATGCTCTCGCTACTGCCATCAAGAATGAGTTCAATAATGCTTCAAATGTTAATGTTATCTTTAACAAGAAGTTTGTGAAAGAATCTAAGTTTGGTCAGTATGTCAGACCATTAGCTATCGTCATTGACCACAAACGTTATACTTCACAAGAGTTAGCAGTAGTTTTGAAACAAAAGAGTTTCTTCGTGAATGTCAAAGATACTCATTATACTGTTATAAAGAACTCTAATATTGACTTCTTCAGTATTGCTTTAAATCTTTCCGAACAGAAAGAATATAAGAAGGGTGAAACATCTGTGAAATATTATCCTTCATCTCTGAAGACAATAACGAACAAAGATGTTATACAGAAATTCTTACCAAAGGTTGAAGAAGCTTCTATTGACATTGACGAAGGAAGTGAAATGGTTGAAGAAATTGACCCTGAGGCTTTATAAGAAAATATATTTTTGGTTAGTCTTCATATCGATATTTTACAACAATTCCCCAATGTATAAACTTTTCATACGCTTTTTCATAAGCTTTATATACCTTCAGAAATTTTGCATAATCTTTAGAAGCATTTAGATATTGTTTAAATGCTTTGTATGTCTTCAGAAATTTTGCATAATCTTTTACATGTTGTTCGTTCTCTTCTTCTGTCATGAGTTCCGAATATTCTAAATTCATGTTCTTTCATATGAGATAAAATTTTATAAAAAAAATAAAATTAGCTTAGATTTTTTTATTCTTCCTCTTTGAAGTTATCGAAATATTCTGTTATTTTTTCCTTCAGTAATGTTAAGTCTTCTTTGAATGTAAGTATTGTGCAACCTTTGATGTCATAATGTGTTTGAGGAAGAGTATTTTTGACAATTTCCTTTATTTGCTCATTCGGTGTCATTGAAATCGGTAAGTTTTCACGATAGAACCAGTTTCTGTCAGATTTATATATTTTAGCTAAGTCATAAAAGCTCTTGTTGTTTCTTCTGACTAAATGCAACATAACCACATCTTTATCTTCTTCTTTCTCCAACTCTTCAGTATATATCATATACTTATAACTCTTTTCCTTTCCTTTTGGTACCGAACGCGGTATTCTTTTCTGTATGCTTTTGTCTTTGGATTCAATGACTTCATCTTTTGCTTGAAGTTTCTTTTCCATCTCTCCACGTTCTGCTTTATATAGTTCATCTAACATCATGAAAATATAACAAGCATAACGAGGTGAAGCCCACATTGCTACAGCGTTTACTAAAAGTCTATGAACATAATAACCTTTCAAACCAGGAGCCAAATTCTTGCGATTTTCGTACGGAATCTCTTCTCTCGGTTTTCCGAGGGAAGCAATCATATGAGGAAATTCTTCTAAAAGTTCTTTTGTCTGTTGGTTTTCAAACCAATGATATGCTTGCTTTGTAGAACGAAGAGCGTTCATTATACTTTGCATTTGGTACATATCGTCTTTGACCGAACGAATGAGGCGAAGTTGTTTGTTATATTGTATGTATTCGTATTCTTCATTTATAGCTTCATGGACTATAACTGTTGTTGTGTTCTCTGATGTTGTCATTACTGTCTTTACATACAAAATAAAAAAATAAATAAAAATAAAACTAACTTTATTTTCTGACTTTCACAAAAGACCAAAAATAAACGCTTTACATGTATTTTTCAGCAACTTCGTCAAATAATTTTATAGCTTTATCTATCTCATCTACTTCAAACGTTTCTTTACCTTTCGTGGGAGCACCATACATTTTCTCAAAAACTTCAAGCAGTTCTGTTTCAGCAGCTCTCATATCATTAACAAACACAACCTTGACTCTATTGACTGTACTGTCATATCTTTGAGTTATATTATATGTCCTTCCTATCTTATATCTTTTTGTGTTGAAGTCCTTCGGTTTCTGAACGATGTAAAGTAAGCCTTCACTGCAACGTTCCGTATCGAATGAACCATATGTTATGAAGTTATATCCAACAACTGGGTCTAACCATAACAAAACTATTGGTATAAGACTTTTGTCTATAAGATATGCTCTTGTTCCATGAAATGCTACTGATATCATAAGCTCAGGATTTCTTGTCAAAATTTTCTGAGTTGAAGCATTTCTAACCCAGTCGTTTGTTTTCTTTCCAGATGGAGATATAATGTCTGACAAAGAATATTTGTTGTATTTCTTTGAGTATCTTACGTTTAAATCACCTATTCTAACCACTTTGGTGTCATTGTCTATCTTTCTAACTGTTTCAAACTCAATGTTTGACATTACTGTCTTTACATACAAAATAACTAATGAAATTCATTATTTTTGTGCTGAATTCAATAAAAATAATGTTGAGGTGAAGAGGTGAGATCTCACCTGTTTTTTCACCTCTTTTTTCACAAGCGTTTTACATGAATTGTACGATGTATATTTGAAATCC